CATGGACACAGACATATATAATAAGCAGTAGTATAATTAGAGACCTCTGTACAGTATTTAAGGACCGACGCTCTTGCTGGAAAACCCCAGCTTCGAGCTAAAGTTTATACACACCATTCTACCTCGAGTCAACATCTGACCTTGAGTCACAACAGACGGATATACTCTAGTGGATTCGGCTGATTCCTCGAAGTGCGAAGGAACATCCGTCTATCACGTGTATCTGTCCACATGACGCTTGGGCTTAACAAAGGGGAGCATTTGGATGGATCCAGTCAAGGTAGCCAGAGTAACAGAATGACCAGAGCTCATGAAGAAGAAAGAGTTGCAATCATTCCTGGGGTTTACCAACTTTTATCATTAGTTCATATGTGACTACAGTAAGATTATATGACCTATGACACAGCTAACTAGCAATGCTCTCTGAAATTAGGGACTCTCTCAGCAGGTGGCATTCAATGATCTCAAACAACACCTTGCAGAAGATGTAGTCCTAGCAATCCTGACACAAGAAGAGAAATTTAGGGTTGAAGCAGATTCAAGTGAAGAAGCAATAGATACTATACTCCCTTAAGAGCAAGATGAGAAGTGGTGATCAGTGGCCTTCCTTTCTAAGAAACTAACTATCACAGAATGCAACTATGAGATATACAACAAGAAATTGCTAGCAATCATGTTGACTCTTTCAGAATGATATCATTATCTGATTAGAGTAGTCCAGACCTTCAAGATCTAAACTGATCATTAAAATCTCTGATATTTCTGACTTCCTCAAAAGCTTAATCAATAACAGACATGCTGGATCACAGAGCTTTCTGAATACAACTATACACTCTATTACAAAGCTAGAGCCACAAACAAGAAGGCTAACCTCCTTAGTTGATGAGTAGACTATGACCAGAAGAGCAAAGATAATGATGAAGTGGTATTACTGAAGCCTGAGCATTTCTAGGTGAGGATCATGTCAACAGAAGAAGAGATCCATAAGTAGATCAAGAGTGTGACACAGAACACTAGTTGATGGAACCAACAAGTGGCCTCATCACTGAACTACAGGTGAGAGATAATGAAGAAAGAGAGATTAATCTGATATGACAGGTGGATCTATATTCCATAAGACCACCAGCTTCATGGTGAGCTCATCACTACCTGTCATGATCACACAATAGCTGGACATCTGGAGATTGCAAAAACTAAAGAGTTGGTTTTACATGAATACTGATGGCCAAAGATGAGACAAAATATAGAATAGTATGTGAAGGGATATAAAACATGCCAATGAGAAAAGTCATCAACTCAACCACACATGGCCTCACTCTATCTGAATGAGATCTCACAGGCACCTTAGACACACATCTTAGTCAATATGATCATCAGACTATCTGATTACAATAGATATAATGTAATTATCATCATTGTTGATTAGTTCTCCAAAGCCATCATCCTGATTGTATGCTTGATGGAACTATCATCTGAAGGATGGATGAAGATCTTCCATGATGAAGTTTATGCAAAGTATGGAATGCCACAGATTGTAATCTCTCACCAAGAACTCCAATTCATATCAAAATTCCCCAACAATCTCTACCACCTGCTAAACATCTGAAGGAATGCTTCCACAGCATACCACCCTCAGACCAATGGTCAAATGAAACACATGAATCAGGAGATAGAAAAATACCTCTGAATGTTCATCAATTATCAACAGAATGATTGGATAGAATAGCTTGTCCTAGCTATATTTCAACACAATAATCAAATCTATTTCATGATAGGAAAAACCTCATTTTTTGTTAACTATGGCCACCACCCAAATATAGCCCAAACTGAATGACTGCAAACCATCACTTCCATCTCCTCTGACTTCACCCACACCATGTCCAAAATCCACAATGAAACATGTGCTACTCTCAAAAAGACAGCAGCATCTATGAAAAAACAATATAATAAACATTACCACTCCACTCATGAATATTCTATAAACAATAAGGTTTGGCTTAACATAACCAACCTTCATCTGCCTTGCCTCAAATAAAAGCTCACCAACAAATGCACTGAATCATTTCTGATTCTTACTAAAATCAGTTTATCTGTCTATAAGCTCTATCTTTCTATTGGATGAAAGATTCATGATGTATTCAATAAAACACTTCTCACACTATATGTTGCACCTGCATTCTCAAATCAAGAACAACCACCACCACTAGAGCCCAAACTAATTGATGATGAAGAACACTATGAAGTTAACTAAGTTCTGAATTATCAACTTTGCAAGATCCACACTCATAGTGGTGGATCACATATGACTATTAATTCTCTGATCAGTTGGAAGAGCTATAGTTCTAAATCTAATCAGTGGATCAATGAACAACATATGAATGCTACTGATGCTATATAAGACTATAAACTCTCCCTAAATTGATCTATTGGGATGATAGTCTTAAGGAAGAGGTAATATTATGATTTTTTTCTTTTTCTTTTCTGATTAACCCCTATTTATGTTTGGTTAGAGTGTCTAGGCCAGTGCTTAGAACTGTGGGACAGGCTTAGTCACTATAATAGGCTGAGTCTGCTATTGTTCTCCAACAATAATGATGCTCTTCAACAATAGACAATACTCTTTTGTAAACAGTTGTGATGCTCAAGGACAACAAGCACCATAGCCTAGAAATACACAATTAGTAGGGATATATTTATCTTATGAACAAACAGTATATAAATAGTGTAGCCCTCACTGTATATCCTCAGCTTCAAGCTAAAGTTTATTCTTCACCACTTCATCTCAAGCTGACTGTCTTTGGCCTTAAAGTATTAGATCAACAGACACACATAGTGAACTCTGATATGACTGTATGAACTTGATACAGTGTCAGTTTATCATGGGTTTAGATCATGTGTGACTTGAGCTTAACATGAGGCATCTCTGACACAGATCTGAAGGTGAATTTTAAAAAGATCTGATGTAATCTATTTTTAGTAGTGAATAGAATAAAATAAGAATGTGTTGTTCAACATAGAATGCAAAAGACAAAAGCTGACACCAGAGAGAAAGATAGAGAGAATATCAGAGAATATCAGGTCTGCTAAAATAACTGGATAAATAAAAAGAGGATCCTTTCTTATAGGAAAAAATACTGGCTTTGTAGAGTCTTTGTGTGTCTGATGAACTTAGAACTCAAGTCAAATACCCCAGAGGTGAGGGTTGTTGACCTATAAGCATATTGCTGACTCTTTGCCACAAGAAGTTATCATTTGGTCTTTGATCTTAGTTTAGAGAAAACCCCAAGCCAAAGAAATCAAGAGATACTTTTTCAGATTTTGTGCATCATTATTTCTCCAAAGAACCATTACAGCACATGGGCATTCACTGATCTAAGATGCAAGAAGTTGCCTGTGCCATGAATAAAAGAAGAAGAGTTGGAAGGACAGGAGAAAGATCCAATGCAGCTCAGACTTGTCTCATGTGAGTCTGAGAAACTCTTGGGCTGGAAGTACAAATCATTTTCAGCAGCATTTTCAGTTGATCTCACATAGAAGTGCCAAAGGATTCATCTGAAAAATTCCAAATCAACTCTTGTCCAAGTTGAAACACCTGTGGCTGTGTATTTGCCATGTGATTGGCCTGAAAGGGTTTTTATGTCAGCCTTCGGTCTCACCGTGACCTGCATCCAAACCACCATCTCCTCGTCGTTTCTGGCACAGCGACGCAACGCCTGTGTAAGAAATATCATCTTTTCCGCTGCAGTAGATTTCTATAATCCTCCTAATGTCTTGTCTTTCACTTTCAGCTGCGTACTTGATAAACTCGCTTACTCCTGTAAAATATGGCCTACGCCCAAGCATTTCCCCTCGCACAGTCTCAAGCAAAAGCACCACTGCCGCCAACATTCGGGCCTGACCTTGCTGTTCGCCTCATCTGTCCTGAATGCAGAGACCCCAACCCTCAGATCGCTGAAGAGTTTGGCTCCGGCGACCTCGTTTGTCGCAATTGTGGATTGGTGCTAGGCGACCGTATTGTAGATACACGGAGTGAATGGCGTGTATGTTCCGGTTTTGAGTATTTTTTCATTCTACAAATTGAAAAGTTTTGATCATAGACGTTTGCCAATGACGAAGGAGATGATCCGTCTCGTGTCGGTGCGGCTAGCGACCCGTTGATGGAGGGCATGGAACAGCTGGACACGGTGATCAGTTTCAGGGATGGTGGGAACGGACTTTCTCGAGAACTTCAGCGCGCCCAGTCCCGGGGACAAGGCTCGCGGCAAGAGCGAAATCTCATGGTGGCATTCCGCGACATCTCTAGCTGGTGTGACCAGTTCTCTCTTCCAAAAACCATAAGCGATATTGCCAAGCAACTTTTCAAGCGCGCTGAGCAAGAAAAAATTCTCCGGGGCAAACCTATGGACGCTATCATCGCAGCTTGTATCTTCATTGCCTGCAGACAGGCGCATGTGCCGAGAACGTTCCGAGAGATATGTAATCTCACGCATGTCTCGAAGAAAGTTCTTGGGCAGTGTTATAAATCTCTTGAACACGCTTTCAATCTCACACCTGGAGCCTCGGCAACTCATCCATCATTAGCACCGGCCACTGGTCCAGAGTCCCTCGTCGTGCGTTATTGCAACCACCTGGATCTTCCTCCAAATTTCCAGGCCATATGCTCCGATATTATCATTGCCGCGCGTGAGTTGGGCATTGGTGATGGAAGGAGTCCGGTTTCTATTGCAGGGGGAGCTATATATTTCACTTGTCTTTTGCTTGGGAAGCCGAAGTCCACGAAGGACATCGGTGCCGTTGCCGGTGTTAGTGACGGGACAATTAAGCTCGTCTATCGCTTATATCTTGTGGAGAAGGACAAACTAGTGAAGCAGAAGTGGATTGACGAAGGGAAGGCCAACCCGGACAACCTGAAAGACGCTGTATAGACCGTTCATTTTTTCATTTCCTTCGTTTATGGATTCTCAAGTCGCTCTGCAATGTATCTACGTACTCATTTTGTATAACTCACATAAAATATTAATATTTGTCGGACATATCTCAGCGAGCCCACACGAATAAGTATTTTCAGGTAGGTGTAGACAAATATAAAAAGTCATCAGATCATCTTCTTTTTGCACCCTGTTTACGCTTCGTGCTCCCGCCGGACGACTCTCTACCGAGAGCAATACCTCCTTGGCCTTTACTTGCGAATCTTACAGCCTTCCGAACATTGACGACACCGTCTCCAGATGGCGGAGCTGCTCTCGTCTTTTTGGCGTCGCTCTCCATTTTGGATAGCAGCGCCAGGGATGCGTTCTTTTCATGTTCAACAGGTTGCTCATTGGCATCGAACTAAAGCCTTTGCATCAGATAGATGGTGGCAAGCACTAAGCAATTTCTGACCTTCCGTTTCACACCACGAATTTTCTTTTCGCCCTCGAGTTTTTTATCGAAGCGACCCATACTTGCCGTGCTTATCCGTGCTGAAGAAAGTGATTTGGTTATCTCCTTCTTCCGTTGTTCGCGAGGATTTGTGTCTGCTACTGAGGACGAAGGGCCCTGTGCACGAGCAAGGTTTCCTTGTCGCTGCTTTTCGTTTTTAGCCACTCTTGCTTTGCGCTCCTCGCGAGCTACTTTCCGAGGGTCGTAATCCACATCTGTACAAGCCTTTCAAAAGACGCTGATGAAAAGGGGAAAAACTATGCGTACCGGCATTGAGAGGCACTTCTGTAATCCATTGCTCTTCAGTCTGCTTATTCTTCCCGTCCTTTCCCCACCTGTTAACCCACTCTTGTCTTTCCTCATCCCACTCTTTCCTGTCCTTTCGCTTCTTTTGAATACCCTTCGCTGCAGCAAATTGCTCCCATTTGGTGGGTGGTTTGGGCTTTGGCAGAGGCTTAGCACGGGGTAGCTGAATTTTTGGAGGTGGTAGCTGGGCCAAGGGACCATCGTCAGAGCTTTTGGTAGGAAGCGTGAAAAGAGACGAAAGCAGTGATTGTATGCCGTCGCGTGCTAGCGACTGCAGGTGTTCTTCAAGATTGGATCTAGGTAAATGTCAGACAGACATATGCTCAGAAGTGCAACCCGGACACACTTATAGCTGTCCTCGTCAATGGGATTCGGGTCTACTACTGTGAGGTACCCTACATCAACGTCAAGTGACGTTTCCTTTTCGACCGTTACCGACTGACTAGGATAGAATTCTAAGACCAGAATCCGCAATAATAATTCGAATTCAAGCTTACTATTTGGCGGCATGTGAAGCCAAAATATTCGAGACGTCCATGGTGGTTATTTAAATGAGGAAGCTGCAAAGAAGAAAATCGTTGTGTTTGTTACTCCTGATGTCACCAAACAACCTTGATTACATTTACCATCAATCATCTAACACCCGTTGACGCTGCAGCCATTCTCGCCAAGGCATATCCTTCATGATGTTCCAAGCGTGTGCTCTGCATCGATATCTGCATTCTCCGAAACTGGAGAACGTTTAACTACTGCCAAACGTCGTCCCTGCGAGGGGGATGACCGTCCCCCACAATTGGAGGCATCACCATTTCTGACACTGGCCTTTGCTGCAGTACTAACCTCTCTTGCTTGGTTCAACTTGGGTACTACTTCTCTGCATCTACTAAGAATTTTCTGGCTGTTGTTGCATTACCTCGCAGTGAATTTTTCAAAAATATTAATGGCAGGCAGACTTGCCTGATGGCTTCGTGGGGCATGACCTTCCAGTTCTTGTGGGCTATGCATCGATAACCGCTTCCATTCTGAGAGGGATGATTTGCCGTGCGACATAAATTTATTGCTGGCACTAGTTTGCGTCGCCGGCGCCGATGCTGCGCACTGGAAATACTAGCTCTCAAAGCGCCCGTGGAAGGACTGCAGATATCGGCAGCCCTTGATGCCTCTGACCGTACCTTATATTCTACCCAGAAATGTAAAGTTGACCGTGAGCTTGGCCTGTTGTCTGGTTGGAGGTATCAGTAGATAATTAGGTACACTCTTGTTATGCTAGAGTGTTAGGTGTACCAAACATGTATTATCTTTGCGCGGCGTTCCTTCGATGGACGGTGCCGTGTAATTCTACCTACTTACCTACCTATTTTCCACTGCTGATACGCGTCGCTTGAAATCCTTCTTGGTTACTTCACTGCAGAGCCTCCTCTTAGATCCCGAGGGATGTCCTCTCTGGTAGTACAAACGGTAGCGGTAATATTCTACCTCCTTGGCTGGTATACCGAATATATCATAATATTGCCATACGAGTCAGGGCCTGACATTTCGGTCTTGTGTTCGATAGCTGGGCTGCGTGTCTATCTTTTACGATCTAATGCAGGCTGTGCCCAAATGACCATCAGCTCTTTCCCATTGTCTTGCCCAGATCCTCTATCAAATAGCGGCCTAGGCGATAATATGGCCCATCGGAAGTTGATAGCGGGATGTCAGAACCGTCTGTTGATGCAAAATCTCCGCCCTTAGCCCTTCTTTGCTTCTTTTCTTACTGGCATCCATGAACTCTGGGTCTCCATGCTGAGAGTACTATTGACACTTAAATAGACTAGAGAATCTCGACTTCATAGAGCGCATACACGACGCCCATGGGATATAACAAGGCACGTAAGAATACATCCATCTCTATTCTCAGTATCATCTTTCAGTGTCTCTGGGGGACATCGTCCAACGCGTCAATAATCGTGGAAGACTATCTTTCAAGACCTCATAACTCCGAAAACCTCCATGCAATTCTCTGACGAGGGTCAATATTCTCAAGCACTTTGAGCCCTGTATGCAAGAGCTGTGATACTTTTCCGAAAAGCCGAGACAGCTGTTAGCACAAATCGGCTTCGCCCTTACTGGTATATTTCTTTCCGCTTTTGTTGAATAGGGTAGTTGATTTGTTTTTTCATAGAACATCCTTCAGTCTCAAGGTTAAACGACCTACAATCTACCGTGTGAGGTCCTCTCCCATGGTCTGCCGACTGTCGGATTGTCGGAGACGTGGGCAGACAAAATCTTGGTCGTGCATCCGCTCTGGCTGAATAAATCTTGAGGGATGTTGAACAATCATAGATCGGCTCTGTTGGTCATATCGACTTCCTTTCAACACGAACCATCAAATTTCAGGCATGACAAATATTCAGAGGCGTCCATATCTCTTCCGCGCCCTTTATGGGATGCCCGAGCCGCCCGACTGTTGCCCCGTTCTCATGCCGGTACAAGCGACGAAGCGGACGCACTATATTTTCGCCAAAAAGCCCGAAGATGCCTCTCATATTAGGTTGAGGTTGCCCCTTCAAGACACCTTAAAGGTCTCAGAGCCTCCATGTCTGAGATCTGCGGTGGTGAATGTTTCCTTAAGTCCCTCGAGTTCGGCCTGGCACAAGAGAACTCTATCCATCAAGTCGTCATTGCTTATTTCCACTCACGATTTTGAAGAAACGCGGAAATGCAGCCCCGATACGAGGGCGTCGGAACTCCCAGGTTGCCCCATGTGTGAACCGGTATCTTTGGCGCCTGTCAATTTATTGCATCTGGTCATCTTGATACTTTGGTATCATTCATCACGGAGGTAATGGGACTGCACACCACATGGACTAACTATATGGTAATGTACGCGACGTAAAATCTCATTACATATTCTTCTTAAAACCATAACACACCTGGCAGAGTCTATCGGGGGCGGTCTAGTCGCGTTGTACTCATGTGCAAAACACGCGCGATTGACTTGCTGCTTCGGCGGACGCCTCTGCATGCCCACGTTCTGCGGAGCTGAAATAACATGATTCGTGATTTTCTTGGTTGACCCTGTTCTCGACGAACAATGTTAGTGGTTTGTGCAATGTGCATCATTAATGTTGACAAACAATCTCCTTTTGGACACAACCGACCGCCGTTTTCGCTATACTCACGGTGCCTGCGCATTGCCTTTCCCTCGGATGATCTTTATCGACCATTTCCTCCCTTTGCTGCCATTGCATCCGTTGGTTACGCACTCGTATACCCTTGCTTTCTTTCAGTTGATTCCGACCATCTGGCAAATGGAGATTCAAGTTGACTCATGTCGGTTCTAATACTTGGCCTCTTACCCTGGTCTTGTTGCATGATCCACTAATAATAACTAGCTAGGCTTCTAACTCAGCTCCAAGTGCTCGGCAGGATATGGGATAGCTCTGTCTAGCTTCCGCCAAAGTAATTCTCCATCCGAACCGCCCGGTGGAGGGCTCATGCCGTTCTCATTCCATAAATCCCTCTAAAACGCGTTGAAATAAGCCTGGGGAAGTAGACTCGTAGCACACTTTTGTAAACTCACGTCCATTTCCGCAACCTGTATCTCCCATCTGATCCCTCGCCCTTTCGTAAATGGTTCGATGGCTTTCTCATACCGCTGCATGAAGTCTCTTTTGCGTTCACGTCTGCCATGTCTCCGTCAGTCTTTCTCCTTGTCATTTTATACAAAAAGGACTCGCGAAGGCAGATGGCGAGCGATATGATGGATGGATATCCTCACAAAGTCGGTAGAGGACTTGCCGCCGACATAGAAATTCTCCTCCGAGACCTCTATGAAGTTAACCACGACGTAGAAGCGTGGAAGGCCGACTTTAACATAGACTTCGGTCACAGCTTCCGCGATAGACCGTTTGTCGCCGGAAGAGTAGAGCCCCTGAGGGACATAGAAACGATGGAAGGGCATAGACAAGACAAGGAGGGGTGCAGCGGTTCTTGTACGTCCATTTGATGCAGTACTTTTGTACTTGGACAGTTATTTGCAGCCCTTCAGGTCTCACAAGGTTCAATATATATCCGAGATTGAACATTCGGGTCACTGACGACTTTTTGAGGTACGCTTCGACATGTAAATGGCCCAGTCACTCTCGGATTGGGTATGGTCGATCATGGAAAGGCCGAGGCACATTTGATCGTGACACTGGCTTCCCTTCCACCCTAAGCGGTATTTACCAAGACTCTAGCTCGCCGGTATGTTTTATCACTTGTAACTTTTGGAGCACAGAAGCTGCTGATTTCTGCAAGTAGCTCGGCTTCCGACGGTCGTACATCTTCGCAGTAGTAAGTTTTCACGATATCGAATGACAGTTGCCTACTGCCCAATCATCGCTTAGTGTTCTCGTTCCCCTTTCCAGCCCTTTGGGAAATCCGCATAAAACGGGCTCGGTTCTCCACGACCCTCGACGGATGCAGCATGGAACGATATACAGGGCTGTAATTCATGGCTGCAGTTCTCTCATTCGACATCAGTCGGCCACCCTTCATATGCATCATAACTCTGTTCTGTCAGGGAAATGCAAAGCCTCGCTGGTTCCATGCAAGTTGGTGGGTTCTTCCCGGAGAGGAACTAGAAGACTGACTGAATTATATGGCGGCTGAGGCTATTTCGGGGATCTCGGATCCAAGCGTTACGGCGTATAAGCTTTATGTTTGTCTATATTTGATCCGGAGGCTGCTGACTTGCCTCGGTGGCCATGCATCGTGGTGTCCTCACTCACCGTCATAATCCAGAACGTCATGGAGAACGGAAACCAGAAGAACCCCACGGTAATTGATGTCCTCAACTCTCTGTTGAAGGCGCAAACAGGCCAGGAAGTCTCTGAGCAAAATGTCGCCCAACTCCTCATCAGCAACATGACGACACTAGTTCAACAAGGGAAGCTCAGTCAGCAGCAAATCCTCCAGGCGTGTTTTCTGTGTAATTTTGGGTTCTTTTGTTGGAATAACATATTTGGCGTGGTGTAGCTGAAACGGTATGCTGATCAGCACAAGAATAACCCTACTGTACCCTCTTCGACGGGGACACCTACGGCTTCTACATCGGCTGCTACACAGTCAAATCATCCAGCGTTCAAAGGAGCGACAGACTCGGTGCCTAATCTTGCAAACACTCCCTCGGAAACCGCTTATCCTATAAGCGCAAACCTCAATCATATAACGAATCCAGGAGCCGTACAATGGACACAACCGCGACCGACAGTGACGGGTGGCATTCCAAGTGGGCGTATCTCTGGTGCGCCACGATCCACCTCGTTTCTCAATCTGTGGGATTCATGTGCTTCCTCCGTCAGGTACCCCTGCGCAGATTGCTCGACCGGCCGATGATTCGACAATGTTGTCTTTGGATGACAATCGATCACGGCGCAAAAACACACCTGGAGATCAGAGTATGCGACGAACAATACAAGATTTAGTGGCGAGTGTGGATCCGAACGTGAAGATCGAGCCAGACGTAGAAGATGTTCGTGCACTTTGCTTTCGATGTTTTCCACACCAATGATTTGTTTCAGCTACTTTTATCGATAGCAGACGAATTCATAGATTCGGTAACAAATTTCTCATGCCGACTAGCGAAGCACAGAGGTGGAGATACGCTGGAGGTTCGTGATTTACAGCTACATCTTGGTGAGTGTTTTCTCTGGATATGATATACTACGCTATGGTCCCGGTTGAACTCTCGCTAGAACGAAATCACAATATTCGAATACCTGGATTTGCCTCTGACGAAACACGCATATCTCTGTCGCAGTCATCAGTTGCTCCCGTTGCCCCTGCACCACAGGCTAAAAAGATAACGCAAGGAACCCATATGACACTACGGAGTCAGCGTCTAAATCAAGTCCAGCAGGCCAAGAGAGAGGCCAAGTTGATGTGAGTGCCTGCGGAGTAGTCAGTAGTACATCTGGATGGGCTCATAGTTGTATGCATACATTTCCTGTAATACTATACTGTTATGCCAGAATGGCGTATTCAAGTGTCGTTCCAATACCCCGCCATCCGGTCTTAGCACCGATGGTCTGTGACATGCGACGCGTGTCTGCTAGAGCCTTGGAGATGAAGTTGGGGTCAGTGAGGGGGGTCATATCATCGCGCTTTGGAAGACGCTATGAACAAATATCAGCAAAGAACGGCATTGAAGGAGGGTGATCTACATCTTTGATCACGTCGTAGGGTGCCTCCCAGCCGCTGGTCTCTCTAATGACCATGGGAGGCTCCGACGAGAATGAATGATAAAGTCTTGCGTCCCATGTACGAAAGAGTACATTGTCGACCCGAAGGGTGAATCGGCAAAGAATAAAGATGCACGTCGGCATAACACGCTAAATCGCGCGTGAGCTCCGCCACAGTCAAAGGGATATGTCGGCCTACAATCCTCACAAGAAGTGCTGACGACCCATTGTCGTGCAGCTCGTCCTCGAACAAAGGTATCTCAGCGTAGAACAGGATCGGGTCGGGTCGAGTTAGCTCAGCAATGGGGATGTTGTACGCTGAATCAGCGTCTTCTGAGAGAATCCACGATGGCACAAAGCCGGATTCATCAGCTTCCATGTGTCCTGTGTACATCGTGGTATATGTCCAGTCATAAGGCTTGGTCGCAACGGTCTTGGGCATCGTGAGATTGGACGATGGGTCGGTTCTGGGCTCGATTGAGATCATTGCCAGTACACAAGATAGCTGAGAGGAGGGCGCACCGACTTTTCAGCCAAGCGTCGGCGTAGTTAACCTTGACGCCGCCATCACCATCGTCGAGCTCGCCCTTTTTCACGAAGCCCAAAGCGTCCGCGGCAGTAAATGAGTACTTCAACCCAGAAGGACGGTGCTCCAACGTCAGGATATTATTACCAAAGGTCATTTCAGGTAGAGGGATACCTAGAGAGCCCTGGATGGCGTCGCACTCAAAGGCATTGGATATTGGGTTCGTGGACGCGGTAATGACCCAGCTGTTGACATGAATAGAGCGTGAATTGGGCGATTCGAAGAGTTTGTGCTCCGGCACTAAGAATGCTGCAGACATGATTGCGTCAAGGTGGCTGGGCGCCGTGGGCGACGACAGCGAGGATGAGGTCGACGTCGTTTCGAACAATGGGCAATTGTCGGAATTTGAATACAAAAATAGAATCGAACGGGCAACGTGCACACATGTAACTTGCTTTCATACTACTCTCGATGAATTCACGACCTACATCGCCAGAGGCACCTCCTCAGGACTTATGGTGAAGACCGTCTACGGTTACCGGTTGAAAATGTTCTGACAGCGTGCAGGTCGTCCATTCTTGATTCCGTCTCGTCGTCGCGTTCAATAAATTCTAAACAAATCCTTTTGTTGGGCCAACCATCAGCAGGCAAATCCACGCTTGCTTCTGCGCTGTTGCAAAAACCACTGGATAGCGATGGCAAGGAGGATCGCAAAGTTGATTTTGCTTTGGGATATGATTTTGCGGATGTAAGAGATGATGCAGGCGAAGGTTTGTAGCTTCAATTCTTTGGTCTGTTACTGGTGTATATTCACAGATACTATCAAGATACTCTTGCTAGACTGTCGGTATACACCGTTCCATCGTCCAATCTCTCCTATACTGCTCTTCTTCCACATTTTCTACCGCCGCGGACGTGTTTACCGCATACCCTTGTTATGATTGTGCTGGACTGGACGCGTCCTTGGACCTTTATAGAGGAGCTAGAAATTTGGTTCAAATGGATCGACGACTGGGTCAAGAGCGATGACTCTCGCGAGGCGCAGATTGCAAGAGAAGAAGGCCGCGAACGGTGTGAGTGTTGTCTTACAATCCTAATTTCTTCTGTTTATATTTCTACAGTGCAGTCGCATCTACAACACTACACGGAGCCGTCAAGTGACCCAATACCTGCGACGTCAACATTAAGTTCAAGCACTCTATTGCCACTTGGCTCCGGGACATTCACTCACAATACAGCTGGGGTCCCAATCATTGTTACATGCACCAAAGCCGATCTTATCGATGAAGGACACGATCTTGTAGCCGGAGCCTCGGGGATGGGTGGTATGGTGAAAGGTACGGGTGGAGAATGGGAAGAAAGAACCGACGGGATTATGCAAGTTCTGCGGACGATATGTCTGAAATGTAAGGCTGCTCGGTATTTCGTGGCATCATTCACTGAGCATAGATTTATAGATGGAGCTGCATTGTTTTACACTACGCCTCTACCTACCACGCTACAGGTATTGCGGCACTACGCGCTGCATTTACTTTTCGCGCCACCCGCTCCCTCACCCGCTGTGGTTGCTGGAGGGGAGGCTTCTGCTACAGTCAGGAATCCTTTTCCTTTCATGCATAAGCCAAACCCTTTAGACCGAGACCATCTCTTTATCCCGGCAGGATGGGACAGCTGGGGAAAAATAGAAGTCGTGCGACCATTTGAACCTAGGGCGTGGGGCGAGGCATGGGAAAGGGACTTGGAAGCTGGGTACGACCCAGCGTCTCACGAGATGGGGGCTAAGAAGATGTTCCAGGCTTTAGTCCCCGATCAGGGTACGAAGGTATATTTCGTTATGTTTCTCGTAGAACCGCCCACTGACAACCACAAAGCCTCCGCCACTACCGCCATTCAACAGTCCTGTTCCCGAGCAAACTTTTCTTCTGAAAAATTACGAGGAAAATCTCAAAAAGTCAGACCGAGATCCTCGAGGTGCATTCCGCAATCCCGCAGAACTGGAAGGGGCGACTGCAGGTATTGTCGGTCCGTTGGGAAGCAGCAGCTTCAATCTTCCGAATGTTGTTCGGGCACTGTCTGAGATGGAGATGGGCAGCAATAGCGGTGGTGGTCCATCAAGTTCAAGTGTCACAGACGCTGCTGCGAGGAGACTTCCTGGACGGACAACGACGGGGAGACCTACAACGTTGGGAACGCAGACATCACCAAGACAGCCTTCATTGCCATCGCTGGGTACTTCTCCAAGTCCTTCTGCGACTGGTGAACAAACGCAGCATGAAGTTTTGCAGAACTTTTTCCAAAGTCTACTCAGCAACAGGGATCGACCTAGTCCTGCATCTGCGTCTCGCCCAATAGTTAATGGAGCTTCGACGGCTTCGGTCGGCCAGGATGAGGCAAACTCATGATGTTTTTTCCTTATGTTGCCTTGCCATTCTTACACATGGATGTTCGTTAATTTTGAGTGATATACATCTTGACTATGATCCCAATGAGCAGCAACCTTTTATTAATCACTTCTCGCATTCAGCGCAACGACGGTGTCGCAGCCAACATCTTGACTTTCAAGGTGTTCATAATAGGACACCTGACACGAGGAAACTCGGTGAGGCCTTGCTCATTATAAGGAGAAAACATACCTGGCTGATGTCGACACCATAACCCACCCCTTCACTACCGACAAATTTCGGGGCGATGGTTATTATCACTGTATCGACCGAGTCCCGTTCGGCAAGGAAGGACCCAATAACTCGGGCGCCTCCTTCGACCATAAGCGACCGGACACCAAGTTCATGAAGCGTCTGTAATACGGACGGAATCGACAGCAATCCTTGAAGGGCTGACGTCAGATCTGAAATGAAGGCCTTGGGTATCTGATGTTCCACCTTCTGTAGTTTGTACAGGTACAACCCGTGCTCCTGCGGCTTCCAAGGCATCAAGGCGCGACTTCCAAACGTCTTCTTCGGCCTGTGGTTCCTGCGCGCATAGTACCCAAGGCCGCCTTCCTTTTTCATTTCGGTAACTCTCCAAAAGCTTGCATGTCGTTGGCAGGCGAAGCTGGGAGTCCAAAACTATTGGACGAGGTAGATTGTAAGGATAATCCTGACCAGAAAGTGGACTTCTAGGCGGAAGATGGCGGGCTGTGATTTGTCTTTCCATCTGAATGCACTTGTTCAGAGCCTCGGATGCGTACCATTCAACTGCGGGTTATCGTTAACAGCCGTCCCTATTCCAACCAGGATAGCATCATGCATCGTTCTCATCCTATCCTGTGAAAATCAAAAGGCGGCGCTTGTTGGCGAGAAAAATGGAACAGACCAGTGTGTCATGACCATGCTCTCCTTTCCACTCAGGATGAGCTGTGCGCCATCCTGTCCCGATATTTTCGCATCCAGGGATTGTGCGAATGTTAACGTTACGTTGGGACGCACTGCACTAAGCGTGCGCGGTATGCAACGGTTCAGAATCGATGTTAGAAACTGAGGTGGTCCTAGATCCATTTCAAGCATATCCGGGCCGGGAAGCCGCAGGTTTGATCAAGACATTTACCATTATTTTGCAAGAGCTTCGGCTAAATTTCTCCCTCGACGTCGATGGCGGTAACAGACTCTATCTCAGTATTCGCAGAGGGGACATTCGAAGAACAGGTATTTCTTATATTATATCCAAGGTATTAGTTGAATTCTGTTCCAGATTCAGGAATTAGTCTTCTACATAGTCCGGAATCAAGATGACGAGCGCGCCGTTCTTGTTCGCCCTTTCCAAGATGCTTTCAAAACGGAAAACGAGACGAAATCTCTCGCAGAGGACACGGAAAGACGCCAGAATATCTTTGCAATGGTTATGGCTGAGGTGAAAGGGCTTGGAGACGGCTCGGATAAAGGTCCGTATTGCTAGCTAGTCTTTCTTCAAACGATGTTCACTTTGTTTCTTAGAAATCGAAGGATTTTTTAATCTCCTTTTTTCACATATACTTTCACTTTATTCGTATGACTCACCCAAGACGAAAGAATATGTTATTCAATTGCTTGGAACTGTGGCCTCGGCACCAGCTCAACATACTGCCATCAAATACCGGATGTAAGACTGCTTCTGCTTTTATATCTAGAGAAACTCAACAAAACAAATTTGCTTAGACTGTCTGATTTCTTCAATGCTCTCCCGAGGACATCACCATTACGGTATCTCGTCTATAATTCCCTATTGGACATCGCTCCGTCAAACGACGGTATCGAGGCCCTGCAGCTCTCAAGAGCAGAAGTAGAAAAATGGCTCAGTGAATGGGACACATCACCTGAAGAGAAAAGCACTTTCTTGAAAAGCATTGTAGATGCCTACGCAAAATCGGGCCAATCGTTAGTCACCTATGATGTCCTCTGCCGAAGAACCTTCTGTCTTACGTTGCTATAGCACAACGTCTTACGAATACTCGTTGTCATATGTCCGTTCGCTTCCTGCCACTTCAGATGCTGCAAAGGCGGCAGTTATCGACGTCATCGCTACCGCGCTTCGTCTCCCGTTTATATTTGACTTTGACCCATTATTCAAACTGGATGCAGTCGTAGCAGCCAAAGGCCACGATCTTTTCTCTCTTCTCCAGGTCTTCCTCAGTGGTGGTCTATCCGAGTTCAAGGCATGGCAACAAAGTCATTCCGGCGTGCTGGAGAAGTTTGGTATATACAATTTTATCATTCTCCGGGGTATTTTCTGAGGGTTGGCATGTAGACCTCGAAGTCACACAATTGGAACGTAAAATCCGACTCCTCACCCTCGCCTCGTTAGGGTTCCAAAAAGTGGGACAGAATGTTCCTTACTCTAAAATAGCGGAGACGCTACAGGTCGACGCGTCAGAAGTGGAAAAATGGGTTATTGACGGTGTGATCTCACATTTCCTTCTATATCCACTGTTCGTCTAAAATTATATTTCAGTCATTCGTGCAGGCTTGCTCTCTGGAAAGCTATCGCAAACGACACAATCTTTGCATATTATGCGCTCGACAGCACGGACCTTTGAACGGGAGCAGTGGGAGGTTCTCGAAAAGAGGATGTTGGCTTGGAAAGCCGGTCTTGCCGGCGTGCTGGAAGTCGTTGCTAGTGCTAGGAGACAAAATGGAGTCCATGGGATACCCGCACCTGCCTAATCAGCATGACAATTCAACTTGTGCATCCAGACGTTACAGTATAAATCCGTTTCTAGTGGGAGAGTATTTATCATGTTAGATGTATCTAAGGTGATATCTATGGGCCGTGGGACGTGGGACGTGTGTCAGTGTACCTGTTTAATGGTTGACCGGAACCGGCGCGAAACAACAATGTGCATTCAAATTCAGTTGGCCGTTTTACCATTCGCCGTCGAACCCGATGAAACCTGAAGCTTAACATCAGCATCAGAACAATTTCAAAGCACTGCATGAACATACCAGAAAGCAAAAATATCGGGAAATATCTTTTCTTTTCCAGAGTCGAACACCAATTCCACGCGCTCGTCAATCTTCCGTCTATACAGCTTCCGGCATCAAAGAAATTATCGGCCCCGGATCCATCAAAACCGTGCCGGAAAAAATCTCCTAATATCTCAAGGATAAGGTTGTCCGTCGACCCAAACTCATCGTCGATGTATGAGCGCAAGGAAGGCTTGGCTTCTATGGTGGGTATTTGTTGTAGGGTATTACAGATAGGAAGAAGAATGCGGTAGATCTGAGTGTATTTGTCTATGAAGAGGAGAGCGTTCGGGACGTTGTGATCACCCATATGTACCACGCTGGAACCTATCCATGTCCCGACGCTTTTCTGAGCTTTATGAAGAATGCTGTGCATCATTCGAGATGTTTTGGGACATGCCTGGACACGGTTAAGTCCTTGACCAGTATCTCGTAAACGGTAAGGAACGTTTTCAGAGAGCAGATCTTGCTCGGCTAGGAACCAAAGATGGAACATGTCTAGCGAAGATGGTAAGATTTGGGTTTGACGGTGATCTTCGGGACATACCATGAAGAATTTCCTTCCATAGCGTAAGACTCTGCAGTACGTATGCAAACTGCTTACTATGGTCATGCGATAATCTCGCTCCTCCGCGACCCTGAGGACAAGTTCAACAGAAACCCATGCCAAGCATTGAAGTTCTTACAGATCGAATAGCCAGACTGGTCTTGTTGTCCTTCGCCTGTGTGGGGTGAAAGTACTGCTTGAGGTACGCAATCATACGTTCACATGGATCGCGGTTAGCGCGTAGAAACGCGTGGTTGTCGCCGATACTGTACAGACATTGCCGTACATTCTCTTGTGAAAGGCCTTTCCGCTCGTAACGAGATGCGAGCGTTTCGATGGCACGCTCCTTGCTTTTAATGTCTTTCTGGATGTCACGCCGGGGCCGACCTTCAGCGTAGATTTCCTTCGTCGCCACTGTGATGAGATCTTCTCGCAAAAGATCTAAGGCGCCAGCTTCCTCCAGCACTGTGTAGACGGTGTTGATGGGCTTTACGCAGGAAAAACTGAGCATGTCCTTTACCTCCGGAGACTGACTGTCCTACAACTCGACATGAGTTGTTATGAAATGTAGGCGGAGAATAGATCCAACCTGGAGGAGATAGATGAGCTTCCCATAAGTCGTGCGCATCTTATCGGGATTCGTAATCTTGTGCCTCCGGCCGAGTTCGAAAACTCTTTGGTAGAACGTGGCATTGGCTTCAAAGTCACGATCCTGGAATAGTTCCTGCCCTTGCTTGTAGTCGGCAGAAAGTAATAGCCCAGACATTATAGCACACAGTTCGCGGATCTGGTTAACAATTCTTTTCGACTTGGACTGGCCGAAACTGATGGTATCAATCTTGTCTGTGTACTCTGACACTGACAACGCAGCTTCCAGGAGACGAAGATATTTGCGTTCTGGCAGGGTGAGACGGAGGGGTATGAACTTTGAGCGTTCGACAAACCATTCCCCGCTTTTTTCACCCACTGCAGGCTGAGCACCTAGCGTCAAGGGAGTAGGACCAACCGTCACGCGTTCCCAGTCGTCATCGTCGGAGTCAGCAACATCCTTGTCGACGTCCATCTACATTCATGAGACAGGAAAAGTATGCAAGCACGTGGTAACTCACCGATGTCGACTCGTTACCCATCGGCTCTACTTCACTCTTTTCCGGATCCTCTAGCTGTTTGGCCGTGTGTGATTTCCGCGAGCCCTTTCGATGCTGGGCAGCAAAACAGACTTCACAATATACATCGGTGCATGTTACACATAGGACTTGCGCGGGCTGGTCTAGGCCCGTCTTTAAGCTTAGAATGGAAGCAACCAGACCGGAATTTCTTACCTTCGCATTCGATACAAAAACCTTCCGCCAGAGGCTTCTCGGGGGTCTCTTCATCCCAGCCGCTAGCTGGTGAACCGTTGATACTGGGATGCTCTAATGACTCGTGGTTTTCACCGAGAATATTTTCAAGCGAAAATACGCCGTTTGTCGCTGTCGTCGCCATCGCATTTGTACTGAGGGTGGCGTTGGACATTGGACACCAGCAAGCACTTTATGCGTGTTCATTAGTCATCTAAAGGCTTTGAACAACAAGCGTAAATCCTTAATCGGCCCACTTCCTATTTGCCGACCGAGATCCCTTTTTTCATTTTTTTTTAATTTTGAATTTGCTTAATACCATCATGATGTGCCGCCATATGGAAAGGATTTTTCTCCAGTGGGCCCACCTTACTGGTCTGCTGAGCATTTCCGACGGATGCCCAGTGAGTACCGTGTACGATGTTCTGGGATCTTGACTGAATGTTATGAAGCGCACAAAAAGAAAGAAGCAAGCACCGGCAAAACTATTGTTTGACACATGAGGTAAATCAGTGAAATAGGGCGGCCTCAATTACACTATTTCCCATCATCGGGCAGCATCTCCCCATTCTATATCTAGTTTTGTCCCACGGATGTCCTGAATATAAGGACCGCGCCCTTGGAGTCTCCCACTCCCACTCCTCCACAAAAACGCGTCAGGCTGCGCAACGATGAGGCTGCTGCCGCTTATCGCGTTCTTCGTTCCATTTACATTCGCAGATCCAAATACGAAGCGATGGGTCCACAGGGTGAAGGAGACTTTCGATGCACCAAGGGGATGGACAAAACACAGTCTGCCTTCTCCGAACCATATGATCGAGCTCCAGATTGGTCTTCGCCAACCAAACTTTCACATTCTCGAACAGCACCTCTGGGAAGTCAGTGATCCTGACCACCCCCGATACGGTCAGCATCTTTTTAAAGATGAGGTCGACGCGTTGGTCGCCCCCGACGACGAAGGTCTTGAACTTGTACATGAATGGCTTTCTTCGTACGGCGTCGATAAAAACGACATAACTAGGTCGTCGGCACAAGACTGGGTCAGAGTTACGCTACCATTGCAGTTGGTCGAAGAAATGCTGGACACAGTGCGTCGTCGTGTTTTCTCGTCCTCTTAATGCTTTCTCAATGCATGAGTAGTCCTACCACGTCTGGCAACATACTGATGGAGACTACCTTGTCCGCACGACGCATTACAGCCTGCCAGAACCCCTCCTGGACCACATTGACGTTGTACAGCCTACAACGTTGTTTGGACGTTGGAAAGGCATGAAAAGCACCGTTCTTGATTTCGAGGATTTCGACCTAGGGAACGTTGCCAATACGGCCAAATTCGACAGTGAAGCCGACTTCGTCGATCCGACTTGTAACATCTCCATCACCGTTAGCTGTCTAAAACAGCTCTACAATGCTATCGGCTATGTTCCCTCTGATTGTAATAACTATAGCACCATTGGCGTCACCGCATACCTTGAGCAGTATGCGAATGAAGCTGACTTACAGTTGTTTTATCACGACCAGGTTCCTGAGGCCGTTGGTTCCACCTTCGATTTCATTTCGGTGAAGGGTGGTCTCAACGACCAGAACATTAGCTTGGCTGGTGTGGAGGCCAATCTCGATGTTCAATTCGCGTTCGGACTTGCCTTTCCTATCCCTAGAACTTTTTATTCGACTGCTGGTCGTCCACCTTTCATCCCGGATGCGACTTCCACAGAGAATACCAATGAACCGTATAACGATGTACGTATGTAAAGTCAACATGAAATTCAAATTGCTCATTTTTTCCATTAGTGGCTTGATTTTGTCCTGTCGCACCCTGACCCTCCGAGAGTCATCTCCACTAGTTATGGAGAGGCCGAGCAAACGGTACCAGAAAGTTATGCTCGTCGCGCATGCCAAGGCTTCGCTCAACTTGGCGCTCGCGGTGTTACCATGACCTTCCCCAGTGGCGATGGAGGTGTAGGAGACGGTAACCCAGATCCCGCGACCCAACAATGCCAGACCAATGACGGCCAGAACAGGACCCAGTTCATGCCTTCTTTCCCGGCGTATGTAACGGTGTATCCTTGTTCTTAATTTATTCACTCATGCGCTTTATTCAAGCGGATGTCCATAGTTCGCACCACCTCATTTTTCCCACTGCAACCTTTTAACATCTTTCCAGCGTGACTGCAATCGGAGCAACTGTGAACGTCCCCGAGATAGCCGTAGACTTCTCTGGCGGTGGATTTAGCAACTACGTGAGATTTCATCGTAATTGCACTGTTGCTTATTCATTTCTTCGCACATAGTTCCCGCGTCCTTCATACCAAGATGCAGTCATCGAAGCTTACTTGAAAACTATACCAGAAGGTACTTACGAGGGTCTATTCAACAGGTAATGGTCTTTTCTTGTTAGTGCCTTAATCTGTAGTGACATCTGCTGTCTCCAGATCAGGACGGGTACGCAGGAATTTCGGCTCTTCTCATTTATAGATCTCATTTTTTTTTGCCAGGGATTCCCAGATATAGCTGCCCAAGGGAGTCGTTTCCGAGTGTGGTACCAAAACACGTCTATCTCCGTCAGTGGCACCTCCGCGTCATCGCCTACCGCAGCGGGTATTTTCGCATTGTTGAATGATGCTCGGCTCTCCAAAGGCTTGCCGACCCTGGGATTCGTTAATCCTTTATTGTACAAGGGCAAGGTCAGCGCGACATTTAATGACATCACTGTGGGGAACAACCCTGGATGCGGAACTCCTGGATTCAATGTGAGTGCTTGGTGGCCTGCAATAATGTTCAGGACTGATATGACTTATCTGTTCAGGCTACCAAAGGTTGGGATCCTAGTGAGTGCTGCGTCTAGTGCGTCTTTTGGTCTAGTACTGACTGCTAACAATCCAGTAACTGGCTTTGGAACGCCTAACTTTGGACGGTTGAAAGAATTGCTTGCTCCTTAAGGCCTTTTAGCTTGCACACTTTCCAATTGCTTCACGCGTTCTTCAGACTGTACCATTCCTTTCTTATCTGAAGTAACATGTCTAGAAGTAATCCCTAGCGAACCAACCGAGATCATACGGACGCTTTGAACCTAAAAAGTGTTCGAGTTGGATGATTTTCTGACTAGAAATATATATCTCGCCTTCTTAAAACGTCGATCCAGTGCCATGGTAAGTATATTGTCTTCAATTGTTAACATTCTCAGTGAGCTTGGTTGACTGGACACTTGGCTTCTGTATGCTCTACATGGTAAGACTCAATGAGGACCATCTGCTCACACCCGTCGTTTGTGGCGTAACTTCTCTGGTCACATCCACTACGAGTGTTCGTGATGTGTCAAGGCGATCCCGGGGGGACGTTTATGTAATAACCGACACTAGTATAAAATGAATCGAAGCTTTTGGGCGCTTCTCTTCGACTCTTCCCTCTGGACATGAAGCTGTGGGCTGCTCTTTTATCCTTGGCTGCCTCTGGGGCTCTCGCGGTGAATAGCATAAAAGAGACCGTCATTCCTCCTCGTGAATGGATTCGTAACGGACGTCCTCCTTCCAGCCATGTCGTACAACTGCGAATTGGTCTTCGGCAAGCCAACTTTGACGCTCTTGAACGTCACCTGTACGAGGTCAGTGACCCGTCGCACCGCCGTTATGGAGACTACTTGTCCAAGGGCGCAGTGGAGGACCTAGTCGCGCCTCATCCAGAAAGTTTGGCTGCAGTCGACGCGTGGCTCTCGTGTCACGGCCTTCCTGAAAGCGATTACGTCCGTTCTCCGGCCAAGGACTGGTTGACCATCAAAATTCCGGTCAGCCTTGCAGAAGAATTGCTGGACACGGTAAGGAGTTCTATAACATTGACGATCGTATAATAAACACTCCACATTCTCAGAAATATCACGTCTGGAGACACACACACAGTGGCGAGTATATCGTTCGAACTACCAGTTACAGTCTACCATCTCATTTGCACGACCATATCGATGTCATCCAGCCTACAACAATATTCTCCCGTACTATAGGCTTCAGGTCAACCATCCACAATATCAGCGTTTCCCTCTCTACGGCGAACGCTGATGGCACAATCAGAAATCTTGACTCTGGTGCCATCATCGACAACAGCTGCAAATACGCGATTACTCTCAACTGCCTCAAGCAACTATATAACGCCACTACCTACACCGCTACTAATCAATCTGAGAACGGTATCGGTATTACCGGGTACCTAGAACAGTATGCCAATATTCAGGACTTACAGTCTTTCTATGGCGAGCAGCAACCTGTCGCTCTGGGTTCTCAATTTGAATTCGTGTCGATAAATGGTTAGTAACCTATCGGTTATCCAGTAGCTCATACTCAAGACGCCTATGAAGGTGGTCAGAATCCCCAGAATATATCGCAGGCCGGAGCTGAGGCGAACCTTGATGTCCAGTTTGCTTTCGGGTTGAGCTTCCCTATCCAGGTATGTCCATTTGAACGTCGTAGCATTGTTGACTGAAAACCCCGCTTTAGTCTACCTTCTATTCGACGGCTGGTCGTCCACCTTTTATTCCGCCATATCAGAGTGGAAATGCTAGTGCCCCTGCCAATACGAACGAACCTTACGGAGAGGTGATTACTTGCGAATTTCAGTATAATCAGCAGCTTATTGCTACTCGTCTAGTGGCTCGACCATATGTTAAGTCATAATGATCTCCCAGCGACTATTTCCACAAGCTATGGAGATAATGAAGATACCGGTATACATTGCCAAACGTTCAGAATATCGTCACTAATACCTATAGGTTTTCCTTAGTTCCCTTCAACTATGCACTTCGTATCTGCCAAGGTTTCGCAGAACTCGGCAAGTTTCATCGCATGGGCTATCATATGGCCTATTGTCTTCTTCTTTTGCTAACTTTCTACAGGAGCTCGCGGTATCTCTTTACTATTTTCCAGTGGTGACAGCGGTGTCGGTAACGGAGAATGCCTTACGAACGATGGTACCCAGGTCAAAAGATTCGTTCCGAGTTCGTCTAATTATTGTCTTCCTATACTTAAGAAAAGGAACTCAATTTTACTTCAGGTTTCCCTGCATCTTGTCCCTAGTTAGTCGTCATCGGCCCATCGATTGAGTTACAATAACATGTCTGCAGCGTTACGGCAGTAGGTGGAACATCAGGCATACCAGAGCAAGCAGTCTTCTTCTCTGGAGGCGGTTTCAGCAACTATTTCCCCCGTCCCAAGTGGCAGGATAAGTCGGTTAAGAAATACCTCGCAAGCCTTCCAAATGGCACTTACGAGGGCCTTTACAATGTGTGCGTATAAGATTCCCTTCTTTGGATAGAAGATTAGCTAAATGAGATTCTAGCTCCGGAAGAGTACGCTGATTTTAGGTACAGCCAACGATGCTCACAGTTATTATAGGGAATCCCAGACGTGTCTGCGTATGCAGAGTCCTACCGCGTCTGGTACAGAGGAATACCTACCAGTATCGGTGGCACTTCAGCATCAGCGCCAGCATTCGCGGGAATAGTTGCGTTGCTGAACGACGCCCTATTGAAAGCCTCCAACCGAACCCTAGGGTTTTTAAACCCACTGCTCTACGAGAAAGGTTTGGCGGGCCTCAATGACATCAAGTCTGGGAACAATCCCGGATGCGGTACCGACGGATTCAATGTAAGTTATGCATGGACATGACACTTTTACTTGACTGATGATGACACGATAGGCAACTGAAGGCTGGGATCCAGGTCAGTGTAATAACAGCCTCGGCGTTGCTCTTACACTTATGAATGATAGCGACCGGCCTTGGAACTCCCAACTTTGGCAAGCTCAAGGACCTACTGATTGATTGTTAAGGCATCCAAACCAGAAATACAGATATAATCACAGACCTGTAAAGATGTAAAAGAATATACAGAACAACAAAGGTCATTTCCGCATTCGTTTCTTGAAGCGCTCCATGACCTACGTATCGGCGAGTTAAAGAAAAAGGCTCTGAATGACTGCAAGCACAAACCAATTCGTCTGTAGCCATCTGAGGCTTGTCGTTCGACCTTTGTGGTCTGTCTTCTGAAGTAGGCAAACCCATAGCCTCCAATTTGGCGTCCCGCATAATGTCAGCATCCGATTTAGATTTCAGGTTCGGTCGATAGACTGTCTGCGTGTCAAAAGCCTAGCATGCGACGGAACGAAAGTGACAACTCACATCGATTAGCAGCTAAATGAGCTTCGTCGTTATTCGTAAGCCGTCTGTCCTGTTTTCCCTCAGCGACAACACGCTTAGCTTTCTCAGTATCTTCGATGTTTTTCAACCTCGCACTGGTAGGATATTACACGAGAACATTCCGAGGCAAAGGGTACTACTCACTCCATACCAAGGTCGACCTCAGGTATGGCCGTTAGCATTGATATGCTGTTGGTAACACTGCCGTCGTCTGCAGTGGGTTTCTGCTGGTCAACTTTCCATCGATCTGAAATTTGGTACAGCGCCTCCTGGGGATCCACGGGCTTGTTCTTGTTCTCTGAGTCGTCGCGTGGGTGGCTTCTGATCTTAAGGTTCTCCTCTATGTATGCCATCCTACAGAGCCGGGTCAGTATGCAAGCGAGGAGATGCGATGACCCATGCACATGTGCTTATCGACGTCGAGGGCATTGGTTTGTTGAGTGAAGTTATTCGCCCTCACTACCCTCCGAGCCCTAGCATCTCTTTCCTCGTCACTGTAATCACATTATTAACGTGTCACAAAGAGAAAACGTATCCGCGGACGTACTACTCTTCTTCAGGATCGACGGCGGCACCCTTCCTCAGTCCTCCTTGTTCCTGCATTCCCTCAACAGGGAGCTTCCGTTTCTTCTTCGTGTCACCTTTATTCAATCTTGTCGCGTCGATACCCTGCCGCAACTTTCTCAGGCTTCGGAGCTCTATCAGGTCAGATAATCTACGACGTTCCCTGTTATTGAGGCCAACGAACTGTCTGGAACAAAAAGGACGTACGGCAATTTCTCATCACCTTCTTCTATCTCTTTGTCCTCTGATTCCGGCGACACCTCACGAATCCTTGGCTGGGGTCGGGAGCGTTTCTTAATCATGGTTCAAAGTTAAGAAGGATTGTGGCTGTGTTACGGTAGGTAGGCATATGCAACTAGAAGCAAATGCTACAATAAATCAAGTAATTTATTTGGAAAACCAAAGCTACAGAAGTCGTCCATGCGTTGATATAGAACAAGTAAGATGAACGATTTTATACACTAATTACGGTATTAATTTTCAGTCTCTGGTGGTACGGACAAGCCGGAGCGAGCTCGGTCTCCATCACCAATATCTGCGGTGTCACCCAGGGACACGGGAGAAGGAAGTGTACCGATATCGGCAAGAGGGGAGGCATGACGAGAAAGCATGGACTCGGGAGCTCGAACACCACCACGACGAAGCCTCGGCACAGCCAAGGTTCTTTCCTCACTAATTTCTGTGGTAGGCATGCTTACAGGAGAACGAGATGTTACAGGGGTAGGAAAAGGGTACCAACGGCTTGAAGGTAGGGCAGACCTGGGTTCACCGTTTTCCTCGACAATATCTATTATTTCTGCCGGAGGTGAATCGCGGAGTCTGCCTCGTCTGGGAAGGGGAAAAAATCGCCGAGCAGAGGAAGAGGATGGAGGCCAGGCTGATTCTCTTTCTCTGGAGTCTGTGATATGGCTGGGTTCAGGACTCTCCGAGAGAATTCCTAGTGACTGTCTGAGGCTGTCACGTATGGTTGAACGACGGCGGGAGGTAAACTCATTGAAATCGACGGTTCTTGAACGAAAGGGGCGGCGTATGGATGGCACTCTGCTGGGCGATGTATGCGACGAGGTGATGGAAGACAACATTGATGAGGATGTACTATTACGACGAACGTCTGCTGGAGGAGGTGACTGAACTTGGGGATCGGACCCGGAAAGAACGTCAGTTGGAGTAGGGCTGCGATGTCGGACAACGGTAGGAGCACCAGTGGAGCCAATCCATCCATCGTTCCAGCTGTCATTGCCATACGCATCGTAAAGATTGGAGTTGATTCGAACACCTTCCATGGTCGATGACATGGGATCAAGTAGATGGTCAAATTCATCGTCGTCGTCCATGTCAACTACCCGGGCTGGTGGCGAAGTCAAATATTCGGACAACATCGGCCTGCGAGCAATAGATCGACGACGAATAATCTTATAGTCCATGGTCAATGCTCGAAGGCTCTTGGCCGTACGCTCAGCTATGAGTTTACGATCGCTTAAGTTTTGCCGGCTCCGGCGGTCAGCCAATTCCTGATAGACATTGATGAATCAAGCGAGAGACAACGGCATGTTATGCACCTTGACCATTATATCGATGATAGAGGCTGTGAAGGAGTCCCCTGGTTCCAATTCCTCTACAAAATCCCGGTAACTGATAGTGGGTTCCGTCTTCTCTTTCTCCAGCATCGCACGTTTGATAGCCCCGGATCTGGGCGTAGATTAGAATGGAGTCCATTCAATACCTGTACTTGAAAATAGTTCACATACACAAGGCTTTTAATTTTTGTGTTCAAGATATCATCGCAATAGTCAGAAGTCCTGTTCCCGTACAAATCAGCAAGACTGGGATATTGCCACCGCAACAGAAACCCCACCATTTACCCATTTTATAGGGAAGATATAGTTTTAAGGAAAGAATGTCCAAACAGACTCCCGAGAAGAATTAACTTTTAGAGAGCCGGCAGAGAGAGAAGACAAAGCACTGCTGTATCGTCGTGGTGGATAGTGGGTGATGGTGGTCAAGGAGGATCTCAACGGGGCAGGAAAACAAGCGTCATCAAAGATGTGGCTGCAGATTTTCCTTCAGCTATTTTTGGAACATTGCTCTATAGGGTCGGGTCAGTTTTTGACAGTGGCTTCAGTATTACTTTCTGTCGCGTTTGTGTTGTGCGCCCACTCTTCGTTGCTTTGACAACGAAGGCCTAAGGATCCAAAGGGTGATACTTATTCTAGCACTGTCCTCTTCCTAGGAGAATACTTATCATCGTTTAGGCGAACATACAATATTGCAGGCCACGACCCAGTCAGAGCAGGTTTCTTTGTTAATAAGTGTAAGGAATAGAGCACTACGTTATAAGATCACTCCAGACATTGCTGCCGCCCTTTGCTTCGCTGCCTTCCTAAGCCTCTTCCTCTCCGCCTCGAGATTGAGCGGTGTAGGATCAAATGCTCTATCCTCCGGCATCCTAGCTAGTTGTGACTTTGATCTTATGCGCGGCCTGTTCTTCGCATACCACTCCCATGCAAAACGAATGACATCTCCGTCGGCATCATACGGCGTTGGGATTTCAGAATAACCCGGTCGCGCCGTAGGATGGCGAACGTACACGGCGGAGCAGGTGGCAAAATTAGGTTCGATGTAGGCGGGGATAAAAAGCCAAGGAGAGGCATAATGAGGCAGATAGAATGACGTGAGGCTGGGATCATCGCCTTTGCACTTTTCATAGTCGTTCACGTCTGTGACAGGCTCTGACGGTGTTTTGAAGAATCGAATAGCGTCTGGATCGACAGACACCATGTCACCAGGTGCAAGTCGCGTATTGGCGTCCGAGTGCTAAGAATATTTTTCAAGATGTACATATCTGTACGCAATACGATACACACCTTCTTTCCGTTGAGTTTGACTTGACCATGGATGACTAGACGACGGGCTTCATACACACTGTGTGTGAAACAGCACCGGAAAATGAAGACATCTATTCTCCGCTCCACGGGAGAGAACATAAGACTTCCGACGGGGGCTAGTCCTTTCTCTGCCTCTGCTACATGATATTTCTCCACCCTCTCCACCCTCTCTCGTCTGGTAACATGGGCATTCAAAATGGCTGTATCGTCACCAGCATTGACTGAACGAGGTCGGACATTGGGCAGGGTTTCTAGGAGGTACCACCGCTTGAATATTTTTTCTGGAATGTAGTCGCCATGGTAGGCGCGAACAAGGGCTTTTGAGAGCCAACGCTGTTGGAAAAGGGTGCAATTACTGGTTTTCATGTCCCTGATCTTTTGGGCCAAGGGGCCTACTGTCCGTGCCCACAGATTATACAAGTTGACCGGGTTCCAGCTCTACAAAATATAAGAACATTACAATAGAACATAAATAAAATGTGCTGACCATGCGTGGCAAGGCTCTTTTGATATTGAAGATGCCCTTGTCCCGCATTGCTGCCTATGTTCGACCGTCGATGTCTTTCGTTGAGATTGTCGGTAAGAGCACCGAAGAGACGGAAGAGACGAGGGCCAGGAAAGGTGTGACAAATTGTGACCGACCGACTTCATCGCCCACCCTCGCCACCATCGCACTTTTGCTGCCGTCGAATTGACGCTCAACATATCCCTGCTGTTCATGGACTATTACACTCCGCGTTCGAAGACGGGCGCCCGCCAGAAAAAGATATCGTTGTCGGCAAAAGAGTACACCAAGGCAGGATCGTTTCTTTTTCGCTCTTCTGCCTGCCAATCATTGTCCAGATTGCAGGTACGATCGCGTCAGTGCGTCGTAACCGTATTCCGGGAGATGGGCTGGATAATGAGGTCAATGTATGCGACTATTCGTCGCGTGAGGCTCGCCATGAAGGCTACAATGAGCCCTCTTTCATCGCCGAGACTTCCTTCGTGCGTGCACCCCTCAATTCTCGCGTCAGCAATGGCGTCGTTCCACCAAAGTCGAAAGGAAAAGGGAAACAGGAGAGCCTGGACCATGTGTCGGTGGAGATTCAAGAGGCCATTATTCTCGAGGACCTGCTTTATGTCCTTATGGTTGGTGGTTCCGGTTTCCGTACAGTCACTGTCTCATCCTTCATAGGGAATCGAAGGAACATACGTGACTTTTCATCCCGACTATTCGCCTGAAGAAGACGATCCTCTACAAGGCGTTCATTTCTCTGTTTCGTCATCATTGGACTCGTCTTTGCGTGACCTTGTGGAACGAATACTTCCTCTCGGCACGTATTACACAGCCATCTCATCCTTCATTGAACATCGAAGCGATCTTGACTACGGCCTTGTCAACCATGCCCTCTGTGCCGCCATACGTGATATGCTCAAGGTACACACACATTTCAGTTACCGCATCTCGCTGACGCTCCGTACAGGATTATCAAACCCTCCTTTCTCAACTAGAACATGCTTTCAACTACTCTCCTCAATTCTCTCTCCAAAAGCTATGGTTCTATGTGCATCCGACTGTTCATACGCTATCCCTAATCTACCAACTCATCTTAGAGCTAGGGTCGGCAGATGATCCATCTGGAGAACTTTCAGGCTCTTCATCTGACAGTGAGAGCATAGACCCGGAAGAGGAAGCCCGTAACGATGCGCTTGGTATCGGAGGTGCAAAGCTCAAGGCAGTTCTCTCAGAAATCGACAAGAATGGCCTGGCTACAAGCAGTGGTATTGCGGTCAAGGGAGGCGAAGTCCTTACGATTATATATGAACGGATGCAAAACATGTCTGGAGATCCCACAGCGAACATGTTATATGGGTCTCTACTGAAAGCCTCGGGGAAGCCATACGTCAACATGCTCAAAACGTGGATGACGACCGGCAGGTTGGTGGACTCACACGAGGAGCTATTGGTCAAGGAGTCCAAATTCATCGATCGGGGCATTTTGGAGATGGATTATACGGACGAATACTGGGAGCGGAGATACACGTTGAGGGATGGCACGTCCTCTGCAACATCGAAGCGGCATTTGGCCGGTGTTCCCTCTCCTCGGTCTATTGGCGGAAGACTACCCGGAGGCGCCTGTGTACCTCCACTGCTCGAAGGGTGGAAACACAAAATTCTACTTGCGGGAAAGTATCTCAACGTGATTCGTGAGTGTGGCATTGAAATACGGCGAGATCCGCATGACGATGAAGAATGCAGCATGGATGATGAAAAGTCAGTTTCCTAACCTCATCCGTCTTTAATGCTCACATAGTCGCAGGTTCTATGCGTTCATCGAGAAGGCTTATTCACATGCCAATCAGACACTCTTACGACTCCTGATTAAAGACCAGCAACTCATTCCTCGTCTGCGCTCTTTCAAACGTTACTTCTTCCTATCCCATTCCTCCTTCCTGACCCATCTCCTCGACCTCTCGCAGAATGAGCTTCGCAAATCAGCAAAATCGGTGTCCATTGTCAAACTACAAAGTTTGCTAGATCTGGCGTTGAACAACGATGTTCACGGTGACGAAGCTTTATTCAGAGAGGACGTGAAAGTCACGATGGCTGCTACGGGGTTGTACGAGTGGTTGATGAAGGTCGTAGGGGAGAGTGGTCAGATCGGAGACGAAATTGATCCCACGAAAGTCAAGGATGAAAAGAAAGAGAAAGAGAGAGATGAGAAGAAGGCATTGCTTGGTGAGTTTTCTTTTTATCCAACATAGGTTCTGATCTTACCTCCAACTTTTTAGCTATCGATGCATTAGCCTTCGACTACAATGTCAAGTTTCCCCTATCCCTCGTTATGTCACGCAAAACCATCTTGCGGTATCAGCTCCTTTTCCGTTTCCTTCTCAACCTGAAGCACGCTGAGCAGTCCCTCTCCTCCGTATGGGTTGACCATAAAACGACTACATGGCGGCGAACAATGAAAGACCAGCCAGAATTCGAAAAGTGGAAACCTCGAGTGTTTTTACTTCGGGCGCGAATGTTGTCTTTTGTACAGCAGATACTCGCTTTTGCGACGTTCGAGGTCCTTGAGCCTAACTGGCGGGCGTTGGAGGGAAAGCTAGACAAGGTATCGACTGTAGACCAGCTATTGAGGGATCATGTAGATTTTCTGGATACCTGTCTCAAGGAGTGCATGCTGACCAGTTCAAAGCTAATTAAGGTCTCTATTTTCCCTCGCCTTATGTGATGTTTTCTTACCACGGAAGTTATAGGCGTTCTCGAAGCTGACCGCGACATGCTCAATGTTTGCGATGTACGGTCCGTCGTTCACACGGTCGGCGAATAAAGCCGTAGATGGCCTGGAAACGGAGCAAGACAAAGCCCGGAGATGGGATACATTTATCAAGTTTGAAGCCAACTTTAATCACTGGTGAGTCTTTGGTCCCTTTATTTCCGTTGTCCGGTTGCTGACCACCTCATTAGGTTCCCCGTGAGTTATTAAATTCTCTTCCGCCGTAGGGCAATCCACTCATTGTTCCTTGCAGATATACCTTGACTGCGTGCAATATTATGCATCCAGTGAAAATGTGTCCCTGCTGCCACTGGTGGTTCGACTAGGCAGCATCAAAACAGCAGTGCCACCGTCGTCATCCCATCCGCCCGTCCCCTCATCATAATTTTCGGTCTCACAAATGGCTCTCGCCGAGTCACTCAATGTAAACTCTCCAGACCACTTCGGCCGTGTACGTGAGGAATTGACCTTCATCTCCCTTACCTCACCCTTCTGCTGCCCAAACCTGAAGTCCCGTGGACCCTGATATGTGGGCGCTGGAAATACAGACAAGGACAGAGTTGATAGAAGCGAATGGTACCTGTACACGACGATTTAGATGGCATTCTTATGGGCTTTCATCCGCGATGCCTGTCAATAAGGTACTACAGTTTTATAGGGAAAACCAGGATCTAAATATCAAGGCGATGTTGCTTATATTGCTTTGGCGTTTAAGGATGGTGATCGATATCCACAACCAGGGGGACTGCGCTCATAGTTACGAGTGTTTTATCGAGTTCATATGTCTATTAGTCACGCATTTGGTGGTACTTGGACGTCGTGTATTTGATGGGTCTTCGTGCTCGGATATTGTAACATTGACATTGGCGTCCTAATTAGTATAGTCTGTCATGTCGTTGACTAGAATGACGACCCAGAATTGCTCGCAATACGCATCACGCCGGACCAGGCTTGAGCTCACGATACAATTATCGTTACTTATAACACATCCAAGATCATTAGAGTCCGGCCAACACTAATGCTTTGCCTTCTTACCCGAACGCCTCCGCGTCTTCTTCTCCTTCCCTGCATCACCACCTCCAATATCCTCGTCCATTTTTCTTTTCTGTCCGACAACCCCACTATTCTTCTTGATACTTAAGATAGTCTGTCCAGCTTTGACGCCACCAGCAGCAACCCGGCTCTCAGCAGCATTCCAGTCCATCACGCTATCATCGATGGCATATCTAGCCGGCATCAGAGGGTGAGATGTCGAGTCACACCAATATGAGTTTACTCACTTTTTTAGGTCCAAGGCATTGATCATTTCACGTTGCCGTTCCCTTGCCTTCATAGCCTCCTTCTCCTGCTCTCCCGCCTCCTCAAGTTCCTCTTCCACCGACTGGAGAGTGTTCCCAGTTATTTCCACGACGGGTCCAGACGTACGAGACATACCCTCCAAAGATCTATCTGGACCCATAGCTTCTGTCACACCTTCCCTCTGTATATCTATGAGCCGCTTGGCGATCTTCCGTACAATCTTTACAAGCAGAGCAAGGACTTGCGATACGGGTAGCGAAAGTTCAGTCTGTCGTGACCATGGTTAAATAATCCTTCTGGCAATTTCAAATGACATACCTCGATATCCTCGACGCTTTTTCTCTGTATTCCCATTCCCAACAGGATAGCATTTTGAGCTGCACTCAAATTCACGGATGCTTCACTTTTGCCTTCCGCTGTTTCTGCTCGCTTATCCAATCGTCGCTGGAAGTAGAGAGAGGAGATCGTGGGCATTAGATCCATGATAACATGAAAATCCAACACGTTGTTTCCATATGTCTCCAATCGTTTTAGGTCAAAGGGCGTCAGTATTGTCGGTAGTAATGCAGGGGTAAGCGCTTTAACGCCACCGCCTTGTCCGTCCAGGTTCTTCACACCGCTGAAGGTGTTGATAGCCTCTAAAATACTCAGCGCTGTCACACATCCAAACTCGCGGAACTTTGGGAATGACAGTAGGGTAAGGAGGCGTGATCGGAAATCTAATAAAGATGAGTAAACCGTGAAGAGAAGTTTGAATCGCTTACCGGCGGCGAATTCAGCGAGCCATTCTAGCTCACTGTCTTTAGAGCTGTTGAGCCCTCTCAACATAACACATGTATGTTCCCCAGTCAGATCACTGGCCGTCTGGCGAAGATACAACGGCACATAACCCAGTCGCTTCCAGAACCTGAGCAACAATAGTGTAAATAAAGTTCATGGTATAAACCGACATTAGTCTACCTGAGAAGCTGACCAGTCATCCCGTAGCTAACGCCCAGGTAATCCAAATTTTCGGGTTTTCGTTCGGATAGTCGTTGTAGAAGAGGAGGCATTGATTTTGGTGAACGAACAGTGGGTGTGTCAGTGTCTAGGGTTGTAGACTAGATGGATTGAGACAAAAAACATCTTCGAGGAGGAGATATAACGCACGGCATCAATTGCGGTGATATCGGGATAGTCTTCTTGCTGCTCTGTGTCGTCGAAATTATATAGCTCGCCGCTATAGTATGAATTTAGCGCCTGCAGAGCTCTTGAACCATAACCCATCTGTGTAATGGAAATATCAATTAATACTAAGGATGCGAAAACAATGGACAAAATAAGCTTACATTCGCAACTTCAAGTGCCGTAGCAACTCGGACAATTCGAGCGCCACTCATTTCTGCGAACCGCCCCTCTTGGAACTGGTTTGCAACTAGCCATGGTATCAAATCACCTCCCGATCTCAAGCCTCGGCTCAAACCTTCCATGATGGATGCTTTAGATATTGAACCTTCAAGAGCCACCTGAAGTACAACCAATGGCTCAGGGAGGACAGACGCGTTGGCATCACTGATGGGAGGAAGAAGGACGAAGAGGTGGTGCGCGGGTGCATCGGACATCAGTTGGAGGTCGTTAGGCTGGTTCTTATAATGACTTGAAACGTAAAGAGACATCATACGCTGGAGAAAAGCCTCCGACGCAGGATGGAAACTGAATAGGGTGTCTCGGTTCACATAGTAAAGGTCACAGGTCGATGGATGTGGGCACCCGGAGGAGAGGGTAGACGATGCTGGAGTAGGCACGAGGCAGAGAAGGATGTTGAGCCACTTTTCGATTTCGTCATCTTGGGAATATCGAATGGGGGTGGTAAGGGTGACTTCACGAAGGGATCGCAGGGCTTTGGGGCCAGCTTTGGTGGCCGCTTGGACATGGTTTTTCGGTTCGTCATCTTTGGCTGTGGAGGATGTGGGTATAGACGGGCGGGTGGAGTCACGTAACTGCTGGATGAGCTTGAGAGAAAGGGAGCGGCCAGTTCCTTCATATCCATTTATCGTGGAAGCAAGGAAGACAAGGTAAGGTCCAATGAGATTTCTAACAAGTGGTAATGGGATAGCTGCAGCCTCATCGATAATGACTAATTCAGCTTGGCCTAATACATGAGCATCTTCGGGTTGAATGTACTGAAAAACTGATTAATGGGACTGGGAGGTCAACTTAGCTACACAACTAACCTGGATTGTCTGCCGATGATCTTTAAAGACGTTCACTCTCATGATTGCATTGTTGAAATCTGGATTGGTACTCTGAGCTATATCATAGTCGAGGTGCTCTTCGTATCCGAGTGCATCCAGGCCCTTGAATATGAATTCAAAAACGGTCTTCAAATTTTCGGGGCTGGGACTGGTAACAAATATGTTGGAATATCCGTGTGCAAGGGCAGCGGCAATGCCTAGTCCCAGCGCAGCACTCTTCCCGCGACCCCGTCCGGCTGTGAGCGTCACTGTTGACGACAAAGTCTTTTCAGCAATAGCTTCGATAAACGTAAGGATGGCTTGGGCTTGGTCAAGTGTCTTTGTGAGCTGCACGAGGTCACCGGCTGGTTTTGTGGAAGACAATGATGACTTGAGCTCTTGCAAGTCAGAAGACGAGACTTCTTCAGATGGGGGAGTATAAGGCGAGATGTCCTTTCCACGAGAAATGGGCAGAACGTTTAGCTCATCGTCGAGAAAGATGCAATCAGGGCATGACCCTAATGAGAGGATGAAGCGTTCATTGAAGCGAGCGGTGACTGCATCGTGAGATGAAGTTCGATATCGTGAATGGATATCCTATGGAGAGTTAGATGGGACCGGTAGAATAACGATATCCTCACCATAGTCATGGAGTACAACTGTCGAAGCGAAGTCATCGTCTTCAACAAAAGAACCACCAGGCCACCACCTTGGACCGTTTCAATGGTCCGCGCCAAAAGATTCGGTGTTATGGCCTCGAAATCCTGCAACACACACATGCCATAGGTGTTTCCGAGAATTTTGTGCGATTCCTTGTAGTACGTATACCGAATGTCGGTGACCGTCACGAAGATTTCAAAGGGATTTTGGTCGTTTGGTTCACGGATACCGCGTTTGACATCCCTTTTTATTTTTGCCTCCCGTTTCTTTCGATGGCTGGGTATATGCTATTAGTGAGAAGGCATAATCTCAAGAGCAAAGGGCGTACGTGGTGAATCCGAGATCCTTTTTGTAGCACCAAAGTACTGACGGACGTGCAGAGACCCTGGCTTGTGAAAGTAAAAAATGAAGGTTGACGATTTGGTCCCTTCCCTTGTCTCCGACCAAGACTATGAAGGATCTGTGGTTTTTCTTGATATTATTGTTGATTAATATTGGAATGCGCGGATCTAGTTGCTTGCGCATGGTCTACTGACCTTATGCCGTCGAGGAGGAAGGTGAAGGACTTTAAATTTTGGTAAACTGCACGTGAGCAGGCCGGATGGCGCCGCTCTGTTTTTGGCATCCGAATTTATCCTGTGCTCTTTTCTACGGCCCTTCAGTGAAGGCGTTGTAAAATATTCAAGGTGCACGTATGAAGCATCTGGGCAAGAGGTATATATGTAGCTATCTATTTTGACGCGTGAGCAATTGACAGGCTTGTTATCAACTTTGTAGACTTTCAGGCCGTTGGTCAGGTATCGCAGCTGTCGGTGCCTGTTACTTATGTGTTCAGGCCTTCATCTCAAATCAAATCCAAACCGAGAAACAGCGAAGACTGTCAAAGACCAATAACAAACGCCCGGTTTCCAGGAGAACCAGTGATAGAATTCTTACGCATTGATCGCAGTAATGTTCAAAGGAAATGAAAGGACACAGCTCCGAGCGTATCTACATTCGAGGGTGGTACTGACTTCACTAGGAGGAGAGACTCTAGAGATGGTCGAGATGGATCATCGTCTTACTTACAAGAAATTCCTCTCAATCTCGCGGTGACCGGGGCCGGACTATGGTGACAATTGACATTCTTCTCTCACTGACAGTCTTTCACTAAATGTTGTCCTCGCGGAATTAATGAGGTAAGATGGCTAGTGAGAACGTCCTCCCCCTCCCCGGACTCGCCCTTCATCGTCATGTCCACCTCTGCAAGGAAACCTCGTATTACGACCGGTGCACTTCGTAGTAGTCGACTCGTCGTACCAGCTCCAACAGTGCCTTCAACTCGAGTAGGGGCTTCAGCAAGAGTAGCTCCTTCAGCAAGGAAAGGACGCCTCGTGGCGGTACCAATACCCAAAGCTGGTCCATCACCGTCGAAGCGCCTCAACGACGTCCTTACGGATGCCTTGACGAGAGCAAAGTCGATCAAAGTCACCCCTGGTAACCGTGCGGCTCTTCAGAACGCTCGTAAACTTGCTGCCTCCATTGTTAGTGTCCTTCCCGAGGATGAGAGCGTTGTCAAGGACCTTGCATACGAGCTTCATTGCGTCTCTCTGAGTTCATTAGTTAACGAGCTTACCACGGAGGTGAAACACAATCCACAGGATCAGGGAGATCAGCAAGGGCATATGCTGCAGTGCATCTTGGAGGAAATTATTAACTGGTTTCCTGACATATGGCTGACAATGGCGGATGCGAACACAGATATGGAGCTTGTCCGTGGCTGTTTGATGCTGTGCTCATCTGTTGCAGACCAAGGTGCTGATTGCCTGTTCGTTGACTCCCTACTACTATATGTGCATCAAACTAACGTGTTCTGTTCCAGAGGTTATTACTTTGACTGGACAAAAAGGCTTGTCATCACCGACTCCAAAAAGCAGGCAGTGTACGATGGGAACCACTCCATTGGTGATTATATGGCTTGGATGTGGAGAGAATTCCTCGTGTTTTCGGCTATCAGAGGCTCAAGAATTCCAGCCAATGAAGCCATATGGGGTGAGAGTTACGATGATGCCCTCAATCTCATTCGCCGAACTCCCGGCGGTACGTTTTTCTCGCCTTCCTGCACTCACCGAATTGACTGTTTTGCAGAACCGGAGAACGCGAATGATTTTGCTTTCTGGGACGCTCACTGGTCGGCGGAAATGAGGACAGCCGCCATTCGGCTCTACGCTGAACGACACCGACATCGCATCGCCAGTTTCTTCGAGGCGCCGTCCGTTCACCTGTACACCTCTTTGGTGTCAGATTATCCTGACATCGAGTCTTCACTCTTAATCTCAATCAAGCAAAACGTTTTTGGGGAAGAACCTTCCATTTCCTACACTGACGCCGCGAAAATTCTTGCCAAGGCATCCCAAACAGAAGATATCGTCTGTTTGCTCGATAGATTGATCGAGGAAGGTATCTCTCATCATAACTCTACCATTCTTGTCATTATGAAGCACCTCTCCACGATGTCCGACGAGGAGCAACGCGCTCATGGGCTCCAAGTCGTCAAAGATGGGTTAGAGACAGCAAAGCAGGACGCGTTGAATGCCCTCGCGCACCTATTTCCAGGGTTAAAGGATGCGCAGCTTTGGCTTCGAAGTCTGATAGATGCGGGGAGACTCACTTGTGACGAAGATCTGTTCGATGATAGCTATTCTGAGCGGGAGAGAAATCTTAGAAGCTTTGCTGAGCGTGCGGCCCAAGGAGGCCCTTTGACTGACCCGGATTGGTCACCTCCAAAGAAAAAGGGGGCCGATCCAGACGATATCCATCGCAAGGAGGAGCCTAAACGCGACTTGGTGCGCTGTATTCGGGATTGGGCGCAGATTCTCTGCCAGTGGCCTGACGAGAAGGCAGCTGCGGATTTGTGGAGTACAGTGAAGTCTGATGGTTCCGAGCTGCTTTTGTCGTCTGTGGAGGGCGCAGAGGAGGCGTTAATGGATCGTATCAAGGTGGCTGATTCGTTGCAGGCAGAAAAGCGAAGTCAGGACAAACCTACGCTCGCAGAGTGCCCTGCGACACCATCATCGCGTCAACAGCTTCTCACTTGGAGGGTTACAGCTACGTGGGTCAAGCTCTTGCGAGAGATTCAATTCGGTTGACTAAACATGTATACCCACAGATTTGACGATTATTACGAGTCTCCCAGCTACGTTTACGGTTATGTCACGGACGGCCTGCAAGCATTGATCAAGACATTCTCCTGTCAAGATCACCGTGCTTTGGGTAAGTGAATAATCAAATCTAGGACGATGGTGCCAGGTACAGTCACATATTCTCGTCTCGATATTTCTCGTGCTTCTTTATGTCCTGCTGCTTCGTATAGCTTTCTCTATAGACAATCATAAAATTACTCACCTTATTATTTATACACATTCATTCAGTTGTCGGATAGAAGAACAAAGACGGGAAGTTGCAAACCAGAATTTGCACATCATAATACAATCATAATTCCACATACATCTATTTCAAATCCGCAAACATCTTCTGTGAAGCCTCCAGCGTCATAATCTCCGCCTCCAATGTCTTTTTCTATAATACATTTGATAAATCAATATACATCCCCAAACATCCAATATGTACTCACCTTTTCCTCATTTGCCAACCTTACATTCTCTGGAAGAGTCTCGTTCTCAAACTTGGCCAGTTTGGAGAGGTTCAACCGCGCCACGTCCAACTTCTTTTCGCATTTCGCAATCTCACGGTCGAGATCCACCAGGCCCTAATCCATACCTAGATCAAGAACTGCATCAAAGGAAAAGAAAATAGGTGCACTCACCCTTACGAGCGTACGGATGACAATCGACTTGGTAACAACGCTACTTCCACAACCGGCAGGAACGTCTTTTGAATCGTTCACGACCACTGCACTCTTGCATCCCTTCGTCAGAGCAACAATGGTAGGCAACTGGCCCTCAATGAGCCGTGCATCGTCCTGTGCGTGTATGAAGACTACATAAAACCCCTTCATCACCCCGAGACCATGTCTAACGGAAAAAGCGCACGCACACTGGATATCACTCTGCAGATTATACGACGCAGCCAAGGACCGTCCGGCCTTGAGTACCGCAAACACCAGATCAAACTCTCTATCAGCATCCTCAAACACGAACGCCTCGTCCTAGTGGCCAAAATCAATCCTCATTGTCTCTCAAAGAAGTTTACACTTACAAACACTGGGAACCTCGAAACCATAATCGATGGAGTCGCATCGCCCGGCCGGCGCGGGAGGCGCTGCCACAGCTCCTCAGTGACGAACGGCATGAAGGGGTGCAATAACCTCAGTCCGTAATCTAAACATGTATACAACGTTTGTTGGGCGGATCTCCTCGTCTCTATCGGTGATTTGTCGTCTGACATAGGTTTCATTGCTTCCTATTTGTCCATCAGCAGGAGAAACCACAACGTCACAGTACCCACAATATAGACATCACATAACTCGTACAGCCAAAAGTTATATGCGGCCGTCGTGGTCATCATAAAGTTACGCTCCCCCATCTGGGTATTAATCTCTCTGGCAGCGATATTGAGTTTATGCAGGATCCAACGCTCCACGAGGCTCTCCTTGCCCGTAGGCTACGAAACAGCCTCAGCCACAGAAACACTCGAGACAGTATACGAAACGCACCTTGGCGTTCACCTCGGGGACGAACTCCCCATCCAGTTTGAGCATCGCAAACTTGGTCGCATTGAAAATCTTGTTGCAAAATTTCCTGTATCCTTCCACACGTAGAATCTCGAGATTGATATCACGCCCTCCACCTGAGTACGCACAGAGAGCAAACCTCAATGCATCAGTCCCACACTGCGGAATACCCTTGGGGAAATCCTTCTTCTGGCCTTCTCTTGCTTTCTTGATCTCCCGCTCGTCTAAGTTGCCCTCAACGAGCTTCTCATGTAACTTCTCCAGCTCCAAACCTTGTATTACATCAATCGGGTCTATGACGTTCCCAAGGGACTTGCTCATCTTCCTTCCGTGTGCGTCGCGGATCATCGCGTGACAATACACCTCCTTGAACGGCATCCTCCCCGTGAGCTTGATCCCCAGCATGACCATCCTCGCTACCCAGAAGAAAAGAATATCCCAACCAGTTTCAAGAATCGAGGAGGGGTAAAATTTCTCGAAATCAAGCGTCTACAGGTTCGGTCAAATAGATATACCCTAATAAAAGAAGATGAACACGCCTTTTCCGGCCAGCCCATAATCGAGAAAGGCCACAACCCAGAAGAAAACCAAGTATCAAGGACGTCTTCATCCTGCACCAGGGTGAACGGCTGGCCAGCAGCAAGCACCTTGGCACGTTCCGTCGCCTGCTCGAGCGTCCGACCCACAATCCAGTTTTTGCCATCGTTTTTCTGCACATATCCATCAACACAGCAAAAGGAAAAGGAAAAGAAAAGGACTGACATCCTGCTCTCTCCCTTCGACATTCACAAAGTAGGCCGGACAACGATGTCCCCACCAGAGCTGGCGGGAGATGCACCAGTCCTGGATACCCTCCAACCAGCGGTACCACTCGTTCTCTGATTGTTTAGGCGTAATGATGAGCTCACCAGCGCGCGTCCGCTATGCCGCCTCGTCAGTAAGTGTTAGCGTTCACAAAATGACGCGTACTTTGATAGCTTCGTCGGCGAGAGGCTTGCAGTTTACCCACCATTGAGGTTTAAGTATGGGTTCGATAACGTCGCCGGATTTGCTGAAGGAATATGAGAAGATTTCAGTGAAGAAGGACGGATGCGGACCTGCAAATAGGTATCATCATGGGGTTATCCTTTGTCTCGACAAATAGCCCAGCTTCCTTGAGAGCCTCGACGACGGCGACACGGGCATGAAAGCGTTTCATACCCTGTATAACTATCAGTACCTTGCCCAGATGCAATAGACGCGCTTACCTTGAACCTCTCGCCGGCATGCTCGTTGAACGTCCCGTCGTCGTTCATGATATTCACTACCTCCAGGCCATGCCTCACACCAACTTCCCAATCGTTCTGGTCATGCGCCGGCGTGATTTTCACCGCGCCAGTCCCAAACTCGCGATCTACCATCTCATCGGTAACAATTGGGATCCTCCTCCCCTCGACGAACGGATGAACCGCATGCTTTCCATGGAGGTGCCGGTATCTGTCATCGTCGGGATGCACCGCGATAGCCGTATCTCCCAACATGGTCTCAGGCCGAGTCGTCGCGACCACCACCCTCTCTCCGGCTTCTAGTGGATACGCGAAACTCGTGATAACTCCAAACTCAAATTTTTCTTTCGCGTCATACCCTGGTACGCTCATCAACGTCCGCCCTGTCAACTGCTTCTGGTCGACCTCGAGATTGCTGAGGGTCGTGTTAAGGCGGACACACCAGTTTACAAGCCTATTCGCGCGATAGATGATCCCGTCCTCATGCAATCTGCAGAACGTCTCGATAACGGCCTTGCTCAGACCCTCATTCATCGTAAACGCGACGCGGTCCCAGTCATAGCTCCCACCTAGTCGATGGAGCTGGTTAGTTATCCTCGCTTGGTACCTACACCTGTCGTTAGTGTAAATGTACAGCACAGCAAATTCACTCACTCATTTTTCCAATCCATAACCGTCTCCAGAAACCTTTCCCGTCCAAGATCATGTCTTGTCTTACCCTCACTCTTGAATAGCCGTTTCTCTACCACACTCTGCGTCGAGATCCCCGCGTGGTCAAAGCCAGGCGAGAACAGTGTCTGGCGGCCTAGCATCCGGTTCCTATTGGCCGTTAAACCATAACACAATAAGGGCTCGCACCCGACTCACCACCTAACAAGCGAATCCTGTATTGCCGTCGTCAGCGCATGACCAATATGTAGGCTGCCCGTCACATTGGGAGGAGGGGCCGGGATAACGAAGACCTCCGCATTCTTCCCACCATACTCTGGCTTGAAGAATCCCTGGGAATGCCACCAGTCGTACCACGCCGACTCTACCGCGATTGGGTTATATCCCGCCGACATGGGTTGCGAAAGATCTGCTCATGATCAGAAAAAGAAAAGGAATCGCATAAGCTACGCACCCTTCTTCTCGCCTTTGGGTGTCGTATTCACAAAATCCTCCTCCTCCTCCTTTTTCTTCTCTACCTTGACCCTTTTATCCCCACTGTTGTCGTTATTGTTAGTAGTCTTCACCGCCTTGGCTGCGAGCTTGGCCTCTTTTTCGAGTCTCTTGGCTTCTTTTTTAGCTGTAAAGGAATAAATAAATATACGGGCATAAAAATGGAGACAAAGGACAGACCTGCACTCTTCGAATTAGGATTTGATTGGGACGACATGGTGGAAAGGAACGAACGCGATGGTTGGAAACGAAATGCGAATCGATGAAAGCGACTCAGCATACAGATGCGATCGTGACTCGTAATTTTGATTTGTTCCCTTTTCGGACAAATGACTCCTGTCTTCCGCGAAAATTCTATGTATGCGATGCTCCTACACTTTTCGTTCGAGATAAAACTCTATGTATGCGGTGGATTCTCTCGTCCTATTTGCCTTACCTCATATACCACGTAAAGATTCCATCCCTAAGATATTTGTATGTTCACTGGCAGCGGTACGCATCCTTCTTGTATGGTCCCTCAAACCCGTGTTCTAACCTCTAAACTCCTCCAGCACCGGCCACGATATAACAGCGACCATTATCCTGATATTGTCGTTCCATTCCAGTATCATCAGCACGTCTATGATCTCCTGGGTTCTTCCTACAAGTCCTGCCTCGCGGACGGAATCAACGTGACTTTACGGCTTGGATCCCGTCTCCTCGGAATAAAAGTGCATCGACTGAGGGGCGAACAGGATAGGCGGCATGAAGCCACGACCCTGTCTAATCCGTCCGTTCCTTCCGAAAGCCGCATGCTCGTTCGTCACATTACCGCTCTAACAGATTGACCTGCATGACCAGATGCCATTGAACAAATCCCGACTTTGCTAAAACGGCTCCATTTCTATAAACAATATTAAACCATAGTTGCTGTGATATATTGTATGAGAATTGATAATTTTTTGGGATTTGAATTAATGACAATATATTGCAGCAGTTATAGTCCATTGGCGTTCTTTCGCAGAAAAATTTTGTGGAAAGACGCGAAGCATTGTCGATAATCGGATACGTAGATATCAAATCGATCCAAGTTAGCTCTTGGAAGTGGTTCGATCGATTAGGTATCGGTGCTTTTAGGTGGATTCAGACGAGGGCTTCAAGTTCCTGGTCTTTGGTATTTTGGAGCACAAACAAAAGGCATGTCTTTCAGCTTCTCTTCCAAAGCCTCATTGTAATTCATGAGCTGTTTTCAGTCTGGTGATAGGCCCCGACGTTGTTGAGAAGTCGAATTCCGGCCCTTCACAAAGCCTAGAGGCAGACTACCCGGCAGAACTAGCACCAAGCACCATGTTGGACAAATTTTGGACACCGGACGGAAATCAAGAAGCCAGTATCAGAAGCATGAAAAGTGTATTTCAACGACGCGCATGTGAAAGCGTGTAATCGCATGACCATCGCCAGCATAAGCCCAGGATAGACAACGGAACGACCGTCTCTGAAGTGTGTCAAGTACCAAGAGCGCGCTCTCAAATGAAACCAAGCATCCTTTTCTTTTCTGTCCTGGCTGTGCTTGCCCAGCTGGCATATTCTCTAAGATTGCAAGCAGACGACCAAACTGACTGTGGATACCGGTGAGTTTATTCAGCAACGTAGAGTGAGTACCAATGGACTGCACTCGATTACTGCTGAGATATTTTTAGTGATGCTGCCGCCCTTCTACTCGCTTCCACTCTGCCCTGCGCCAACCTCTTGGCCGTTCAAATCAATTATCCTTCGTCTTATACAGTACTGACTGCCTCCGCGATTCTAACCTATTATTCCCACCCTAATCTGCTCATCGGTGCTATTAGGCCTTTCGACGTGTACTATTACCAGTACGAAGACTGCAAAATCCAGCGTCTCTGGAATTCGTACTTGACTGATATGATGACGCGTGGGATCCTGTAGAGTTGTACCGAAAGGCATTATCTGAGCAAGATGACGGAAGCGTCACCATCGCAAGCATAGGATTTTTCGACAATGTGAAGTGGTTCGGCGCGTATCCCTGTAACAGCGGTAGCTCTCCAGCCAAGACGGCCCATGTTGTTAATTCGTGGCCGGCAAAGATGTCATTTTCGGGTAGCTATCTCGGAGGCAATTTTACATCTGGAGCACGGTTTACTGTTCAGGCACCTTCAGAGAATCTCGTTGCTGCAGCGTACAAGTGCTGATTTGCCTTTTCTTGAATCACACTGTTTAATTAGGTTCATGATACATGCGCGTGGTTACAATATCCCCGCTATTCATGGGATCCTATCGTGCTACTTCACACCATTCAAGATCAGGAACTTCGTCCTCATGACGGTGCCATAAATTGAAGGGCTGATGATCCCAAAACATGTCTGGACAACTTGTTTGAATACGCCAATGCATACGGCTACAATATATGGCTACGATGACCTCTGACATATCGAACGCTTAGGTAAATGGTGCGAGCGTGACAACCCCACGACTGGATCGTTCTGAAGGATGGGGTCACCAACATCACTCCAGGAGACGTCTTGTATTATTTATATTTAAGTGGGGCATATCGCACATTGGCTGGAAAAGGCAGCGTGAGTTGGGTGAATGTATCTAATTGTTATTTCCTTTGTCTTTTGTGGGAGTATCAGGGTACAACTGATTAATTTGTCAGAAAGAACCGTTCGATTTGACGGAAAGACCTACCTTTCCGGGGTTGAAAAGCCCTAGAGGATCGATGGCCCGCTTGATGGTCTTCATTAGTTCTACTGTCCCTTCTCCAAGTTCTTCTATGAGGTAGTCCTTCTTGCCAATCCCAACGCCATGTTCTCCAGTACCTTCGTTCATCAGGCCAGGATGCTTAATAGAGGATAACGAATTGCGCAACTTACATGTTCCATCGAGCGCAATAGCTCTCTTAACCATCCGACTGACCGCTTGCTTTGTCTTAGCCTGCTCTTCCTCATTATTGAAGAGGATCAAAGCATGGAAATTTCCGTCCCCAACGTGCCCGACTATAGTAGTGACAAGTCCAAGGTTCTTGAGGTCTTCCTTAGTTTGATATACGAGGTCCGGCAATTTCGACACGGGTACACTATTGAAAGACGTCAGCCGAAGAGCTTAAAGACACGTCACAACAGGCTTACCATACGTCCGTTGCCCATCCCTTAGCCCCTGGAACCAATGATAGACCGGCAAAGTGTGCGTTTTTCCTATCATCCCAAAGGTCCGCCGCCTCCTTCCCATTTTTTGCAAACTCAAAACCCGTCCCGCCATGTTTTTCCGCAAGCTTCTTGACCACCTTAGCGCTATCCATGATGGACTGTTGCGTATGCCCCTGCAACTTGATGAAAAGTCCGTCCTTCTCCGGCCACTTACGTCTGGACTGGCCATAGATATTTGTGGCCCGCATGAACTCTGCATCTACCAATTCTATGCATTCTAGAGAGAAGCATTAGACATTTTCCTGCTGCGAACTTTCGTGAAATGTTACGTATTCCAACCCCCTGGTTTATGATTTCTCTGACGGCTTCTGTTGCTTTTCTTACGTCAGGAAACTGAACTACAGCGACACTGGTTGGCAGAACAGGGGCCAGTCGGATTGTGACTGGAATAGAAAATCAACATTATTTAGATCGGAAAAAGGAAGATGCTCAGTGTTCAGAACTAACCTTCGGTGACGATGCCTAATGTCCCTTCGGCACCAATGAATAACTTTGTAGTATCAAACCCAGCAGAAGACTTCCTAGATCGTCTTCTCGTCTTTATGACCTCTCCGGAAGGCAACACGACGGTCTATTCCTGCTTAGTAAACTTTATTTCGCAAGGGTTATTCAACTTACGGCATTAAGAAACCATTCTCCCTTGCTCGTGCCGTATCGAACAGCGTTCGCTGTAACGTAGAAGAGAACAATGAGTAGCATTTTCAGAGAGAGGGACGGCCACGTACTTCCGGAGCATCCTGTGCTAAGCATTCCTCCAATTGTTGCACCAGGAGCAGGGTCGATCTAGGTTCAATACCTCTCAAGATTTCGATTACTAGTAAAACAAATCTTCAGGTACCGGAAAAAAGAGAGGAATTCCTGAACATAACTCTCAGTCTACTTTCAGTCTCGTTTTTGAACTGACCTACCCTTTCTTGCTAAATCGTCGTTGATTTCGACCCAGCCGATGCCAGGTTGGCAAACAATGTCAGAATCCGCCTCTATAAACAATCGTTAATCAAGCTGAAATCACAGCATTCAGCAATAACCATGAATTTCTATGATCCTCTTCATGCCGGAAAGATCAATGCATATCCCACCGGAAGAATGCTGCATAACCTTCATCAGAAACGACCACAGGGGTCTGATGATATGATAAATACACCGCGAGTATGGCCCTCTAAGTTTGTGGCGCCTGAATAAGGTGTAATTGGCATTCGGTACTTTGTCGCAATTTTGACTATCTTGACGACATCTTCTGTTGAATCAGGATAAACAACAACGCTATGAAGACAATCTAGTGGCACACGGTAAAAGTCAGAAAAGCATGCCTTCAAGTTAAGCCAAAATTAAACACACCCGGTAGATAATCATATTCCGACCGCCCATGTATCCGCAAATCCTCCGGATCGGTCGAAACGACATCGTCACGGCCGGCAAAGGTAAGCTGAAGCTCTAAGATGGCTTGTTCATAATCCTTGGGGGAGCCGTACTTGGGAGTAGTCGGAATGGCTTCAGCATTATTCCAGCTCGATACAAAATAGCCTAGAGCTCCGCTGGCTAGAGATGCCACCAGGAGACTGTATGCAGAGCGGAATTTGGGAGTTTCCCGAGGCTGAGCGTTGTTCGTAGTAAAGCGACGTCGTGGAACATAATACGTGAAGAGCAAAGTTGCTGAAGGTCTAGCCAAAAGTAAAGGCCTAGTTGTAGGACGAACAAGCATTCTTGAATTGGGGGGTCAGAGCAAAGGATAGTGCGATTAAGTACTACCAACCCTTGCAATCAGGACGCGGGTGCAACGGCCGCATCTGCACACGGTCACAAGGAATTTCAGAGCGGGGCCCGGCTACCTCGAGCCAGTAGATGTGAATGCCGCGGAAAGAAACAAGAAGAAAACAATCAAGTGGCAGGCGCGTTCTCCGCGTGGTCAAACCAAGGTTACTTCCGTACCACATCAGTCTAGCATGCCAGTCGATTTTCCGACCTATCTGACGCAGCTGAACGACGCCCTCGTTGCTGAAAATGGGCCCAATCTTGCCTACCTTCTCCGGCCGACGAGTCCCCATGGAAAAGACCTCGTCAAGCAGTTCAGGAATCCTACAGTGCGCCGGGGTCGTACCAGGACCTTAACATCCAATTCACGAAAATCTTCAGCGTGCAGCATTTGGCCATTATCAAGGAAGCATACAGAGCCCATGGGATGATATTGCGATCCAATATGTGATGGTCTGTTCGCATGTAGCTAGGCGAAGACCAATGGAGGCATTCAAGGAACATACACAACTTGTCTCGTGAGCATAGATCTATCTTCTTTACTGCACCATGCTCATTGCTGCTCAGTTTATTCTTCCGTTTCTTCACCGAAAATCGAGGTTGGACACTACCGGCTCTGTTTTCTATTTTGCGGGACTTACGGGATTTGGCATTCGATGTAAGCGACTCTTTTCGTGTTCTCTGGCACCACTCATGGTCTTTATTCAGGCCGACTTCTTTGCAAAATATAACAGCCTGAAGAGCGAGTCGATGGAGGAAGCTGCGAGAGTCATTGCAAAGGCCTTTGGAAACTGCATGACTGACAGGTGTGCTGCCTTCGTTGCTTTTTTTGAATGTCAAAGCCTGATATACTAGGACGTCATCACTCGATGAATCTCGCAAATGGGGCGTATACTACGTCGTTGGTCTCATACTCAAGTGTTACTTTCGGGCAAGTCGCTTTGTTCTCCTTCAAAGTTTCTCTCCTCCACGATCGTCAGTGGTTTTGATTTTAGGTTAAACGAATATCTCTGTCAAAGAGTATTTTGCGGGCCCTCGAAGCCAACTCTGACATTCCCCCACTACATATGTATCCCCGGTCGCATCAAGTACGATCTTCCCCCTTCGATCTACCGTCTTGGTTAATGTCTTGCAAGGTCACTTATCGATATTACATTGGAATGCTGAGTTTTTTGAACGAAGAGTATGCAAAGGTAGGCGTTCGTAGTGACGTATCCGGTCGGCATCTCAGAGATCATTCTGCAGTCCGAGGAAGAACTGACTCTTGCTTTCTACCAATGCCACACTGGAGCCAAAAGTAACCAAGAGTGCGACGCCCTTCTCTTTCTCTCGTCTCTCAACTTGACTGTTTACAGGCGCATCCTGACCTATCTCCTTCCTCTGCGGATTCTGAAAGGTTATCTTCCGTCACAAGAACTAATGGATCGATTCCCTACACTCAAGGAGCTCTATCATCCATTTATAATTGCTATCCGAACCGGTGATATATCCAGCTACGATAGGGCACTCGACCACAACGAAAAGACACTCTTGGACCTGAATCTTTGGATAACACTCGAAAAGGCTAGAGAATTATGTTTGCGGGGCTTATTCAGAAGAGCGTAAGTTGGCTTAATTGCCTTCCGGAAGCTGTTTTCGATCTATGTATATTCCAGATGGGTAGCTTCTCAAAAAGGATCACGACTCCCTATATCCATGTTCCACTCCTCACTCAAGATCTCAGGTATTGACGTTGATGAGGACGAGGCAGAGTGCCTAGTTGCAAATATGATCTACAAAGGTTTCATGAAAGGGTACATCAGCCACGAAAAACGAATGGTCGTACTCTCTAATACCAACGCGTTTCCGAAGTTGGCGGAAAGATCCAATCCGTATGGATCGATATAGGTGTCATCCCTGACCGTACATCTTTAATGAATATCTATTTCCAGGAACACGACACATTGCATGGTTCGCGATATTCAACTGTCTTCCATCTGGAAGAAGGCTGACCTCAAAGAAGATTCTAAGCACCATAGCGTTCCCTCGTAATGTTTCATTGGAGTAAGCAAGGAAACGACGGTTCGGCGGTTGCTACCGCGGGGACCTGTACGGTCCACTGCCCCGATGGCCGCAAGCTCATTTTAATAGCGCTTATGACAAAGTTCTCCAACACATTGCATCGGAGTATGTGCGCAATTTGACGTCAAAAAGACACGCGCCGAAGGCTTCTTGTTTCTCGTCGTTGGCTATAGAGCTTGATGATTGGTGGAACTTTTATAGGTCATAGGACTTGGACTCTGAGCACCCTTCGTAGAAGTGGTTTTCCATATTGCCAAGGTAAAGGGTCAATACATCTCTCTCGGTCTGTAATTTGTTGTAGCACAACGCCGACCAATCGACGGTTCGATATCAAGCTAGGGTTGTAATTTTCCAGATGGTGATTCCGGCTGCACAAATGTGTACGAGCCATAAATTGGAACCGAGTAAGTTCGTAGTATCCACATGCCGGTGTGATTCTACTGAAGGCCTCTCAGTAGTATCTTCCCGCCGTCAACACTACGACATGGGACCGTTCAGTGGGCCATCCAAGTCATCCGAATGGACTTTCATCAAGACGCCGGGCTTCCGATCGTTGTGCAACTCCCTTTCTTGAGACAGCAGAGCCACAATTGAAGTGCCCGTGAAGTACTGGTAGACTTGGTCAACATCACAGCATGCCTCGTAAAATCCTAAATTTAGGAGGACGTAAGCATTTACACACATGTTAAGGTTGGGGCGTCTGCGTTACAAGGTTAGATTGAATCCCGATAAGTTCGATCGATCTCTAGCTAAAGTATATCGCTGAACGTTATCAGGCTTTCGGAACGGTCTTCTCTCACAGATTAGCCCAAAAACGGTGACGAAGTACATGGGTCTCTGCTTAGAGACCTGCCTTTGGCTCGGCTCGGCTCGCTAGAGTGGTCGCAAGGGCGTGACCTTTAAGAATTTCTACAGACACTTGTAATTGATTGGATGGGGGGGTAGCCGGTGCTTTCTCTAACATTCACGTCCGATACTTCGGTCAATTCCGGGTGTGTCTTCTCCCGTCCATCTGGTCAGATTGTCGCACACTTCTATCTGAGATATTTTCCTTATTTTACTGCGATGTGACCACGGCACATCTATGCGGTTATAACTGCGCTTATAGTGAATTACTTGGTACAGAATGGCCCTTGCCACGGTTCATCCTGATATCTTGCCTAGCGACTAGGAACTAGCGGCGGACAACATGACGGGTTTACGTGGAGAATCGAAGCGAACTCGATGACCTCCTGGCATTGCAAAATATGATCCCGGGACCACACAATTCTTGACCAAAACTCAGGATACACTTCCTGGGCGAGTGACACACCTTCTTTGAATGATCGCAGCGGACGATTGACCGGATCCTGCAGCCTATAAAGTAGAGGTTGCCTTGGAGCTGGACTGATACTTCCCTTCGTCTCTCCAGATATGTGCCTTTATCGACAGTGAGTTTCGCCGTCCTGGGTCGGTGGACCAACACTTACACCTGCTCGCTTATCCTAGGGTTAGAAACGTCTACACGCGGTCAGTACTATTCCGTCTTACTCCCCATTGTGGGGCACTAACTCATTTGTAGCTGTGGCCACGGCGTAACTTTGGTACGAAGTTCCCAGCTTCCCGTATGGCTTATATAAGGCTGACTCTTGAACGATCATCGAGCCTGACGAAGAGGTAAGATAATCACTATGCTACGCAGGATGTCTGGTAAAATATCGTCTAGATTAAATGCGACCTCGTCCAGTGCAAATTCAGTACGACGCACCCGAAGACTTGCAAGCCTCCTTCATGCCGCCGAACTTGTTGGCAATAGTCAGCTCTTTTCCGTCTGTAGACTGTTCAGAGACTGATTCCCCACCAGCCGTCAATTTCCGCAACAATACTGTAGGATTTCGTTTCGTTGCCCGACGACTTTCATTGACATTACCGTTGCAGCCCCCAACATCAACGCTTTGTGCCCTCAGTGTAGTAGTAGCGGCAGAACATGACGAAGCAGCAGATGGGTATTATACGTAAACATTATTGTCGACTTATTGCGTGGTAGAATATCCTTCAGACAAGATCCTGTTTTGTACACGTACTTGCGCTGTGCCGGGGCGTACAAACTTGTTGTCGACCAGAAAGTGGGTAAACGGTGGGCGCTCGATCTCCATGATCAAACTATTTGACACGGACACGCCGCTTCGGTCGTCTCGCCACCTAGATCAACTTATATTGGTCGAAATCCGTAACTGATAAATTGAAACCATCGTATTTGTGCAACCCGTTCATAAAGGACCAAATCAAGCGCAGATGTTACTAAGATTACGTCTGTCATAAACAAAAGGTTGATAACGCGACCTCCGGGAGCGCTCAGACCATATAGGCCTCCACTACGCACCAGTCTCGACCGCCGCGTTGTTGCAAAACATATCGAATGAATATTCAAATGATGGGTTCAGTCAGATATAGTAAACGCAATGTTAGGCATATAGCTTAGTTGTATGTACAGAGACACGGACCTCTCGGAGCTATGAACGTGCCAATGTATCATCGGGAACTCGGCTTGCTACAGCCTGAGGATAATTTGAATCATATGAGCTGGTTCCAGAATTAAACTTTGCCAATCCGCCGCAGGTTACCCTTGCTTAATACTTACACCATCTAAAGGGGAGCGTTTTGAGTAGCAGTAGTGGTGCCGCGGCGCGGCTTATCTTTGCTTAGTTCCGAGTCCCGACACTACCTCCACACCAGGGAGCCAGAGGGGAAATTCGGGTTCTGTCGATCCTGCCTTCAGAGTACCTTGACATGCTCCAACTTCAAGATTCTTTTCATCTTGTGCTCGGTTGCAATGGAGCAGATGAATAAGCCGAGCCAACGCGGGCCGACGAATGCAGGTAATCACTTAATATATCTATAGATACTTATCGACAACAACTCTTAATGGCTCAATGGTCTAGTAGTATGATTCGCGCTTCGGGGGTTATCCCAGTGATTATGTAGTCATTAATTGTGCGAGGTCCCGGGTTCAACTCCCGGTTGAGCCCTTTTTGGTTGTTGTAGCCAATGTAATGTCACGCCCGAAACCTCAAGGGAGGTAAGTTACCACTTTTACACCCGACCCCTTGGGGAGTGTTTTGATATGGTGATTTATCGTTACTTACCTATCATGTGTAGAATGATAGGCCTACGAAAATCCCTGGCGAGGGGAGGTAACTTACCAGTAAGTCAGTATAATTACCCTAAGCCGATGTTCTGTTTTTTAAAAAGCTGTCTTGCAGACCGACCTTTCGTCGATGTAGTGGCATCGTAATGATCGATGATCGAGCCGATCATTTGAAAAGCTTAAGTTACCGGATGGTTGCCGCTACCGCTGCTTAGTGCAATATAGTCTCGTACGATCTGTATGAAAATAAGTCAGTCAATGGATGTAGAAGTGAAATACTAGCACTCATTGCCAACACAAGGTCGCCTGTGCTTTGGCATCCGAAAGATATGTGAAAGCATACTATGATACCTTAGAAAGAATGCACATGTAGTGACAGAGATGTCCCAGGGGCAGAAGCATTGCGATCCCGGCCCAACCTATGCTGTGCCTCATCCTTCCAAGTATGACGGATCTTGCCCATGGTGATCTCATCCAAAGTCCAATTTTTTCTGATTGAACATATAACAGGTGTTTCTGTTGGCTTTTTTGACTTCGCTTCATCGACGAATCTAAAGTCTACGTTGGTCAGACAAAAGACAGCAAGTTGAGGGTAGGATGATCAGGAGGAATTATTACCCTTAAGCTTAAACTCTGCTTTTCATTGTCTTATCGGGCCTCTGTCTACCAAAAGACTTGCATACTGCCATGAACTGACACCAACACCTGGAGGCTGACTGGGGAGCTATGGAGCATCTGAGTATCGGCACAGCACTTATCTGCATTGAAGATGTGGGAGCCAATAAGATCTATGTCGAGATCCTTGTATATAAATTTGATTTCAGGGCTCAACGTTAGACGGGAGTTGAACCATGGGCACAGCCTATCAATTTCACCCTACTAAGTAGGAACCAAAGTTTTATATACATAAAGGTAATTTAGCGTAAAGATCTCATTCAACCACGCTCATCCAATGAAGGGTTGATGTGAATGCACATCGGTCCTCTAAGTCCAGGGTGCAGCGAAGCCGTAAACACGTGTAAGCTAATTTCCAACCTCTAGGATTCAACAGAAAGTTGTACTTGCTGGTTTAAGGGCCCATGGCGTCAAAGCGTTACTTTCTACAACACAATATATTATCGTACATATACATATAAACTACAGCCAGTGGAAATAACATTAGAGTTTGCAAGAAAGCGAAAAGGAAATAAAAATGTGAGGGGGGTATCCAAACTGAATCCGAAACAGTACTAGAAAGATCACTTCTTCACCGCCCGAAGCTGCGCTCTCAGTTGACCATTCTCTGTTTGCATCGTATTCAATTCATCCAACAATGTGGCCTTTTGGTTCTGCTCCGACGAAACGACAGCATCGAGCTGTTCCTGTGCGGCCTTTAATGCTGCACGGGACTCGGTAAGTTGGGCCTCCAGCTGTTTTTTGATGGCTTCCGGAGCAGATGCGGCTTCTTCAGCCAAGGTCAGCGCTCTAGCGCTTAACGTGTTGTTGGCCTCGGTAAGTTGCCGGCATGTTTCAGCCTGCTCAGCCGCCTGCATTTCAATCTCAAGCTTCTGTGCCGTGATGATATCCACGCTGTCTTGCAATCGTTGCATTTCATCCTCCCTATATGATAAATGATGAGTTATGGCATGACATGTTCGAGACAACCGGAGGCACTCACAACCCAGCATATCTGGCTGCCATGCTCATATTCCTGTCCTCTAGCATCCGCACCTGCTTTTGATACGTCTCCAAAGCAGAACTGCCCTCCTGCGCCAACTTTTGAGCGCGATCGGCGTTCTTCTTCAATAGATCATGCGCCTGGGCGAACCGAAGTAGACGTTCAATAAGCGACCTATCATCTGCCACCAGCGCTTGTACCCGGGAAGCAAAAGCCTCCACTGTGAATGCTCCTGGGTTAGGCGACGAACTTGGGCCTGACCGTAGATCATAGAGGGCCTTGAGGGACCGCACATCCAGATCTGAGAGAGATTTGGCAGAGTTGTTGTGACCTAGACCGTTAGGACTGGAAGGAGCTGATGCCGTTGGTGATCCAGTCCGGAATTGTCTTTGAATGTTGAATTTGGCGGCGCGCGCTTCGGGGGAGGGAAGCATAGCCCAGAGAGGTTGGAGGATGGCGACAATCTTGGCGGCATCTCCCACAAATTCGGAGGGAAAGGTGGCGGTCGGTATAACTGGGGAGCGAACTGTACCATTGGTCGACTCCAATTGCTCCTAGAAAGGCGTCAAAAACACAACCACTTGGATGGACGAGGAGTGCATACCTTCATTTTCTGAGCAACTATACGAGCCTCCTTCCTGGCATCTTCTCGCTCACGTCGAGCTTCCTCGAGATCGTGAAGAAGAGCTTCGTGCTTGGACACTTCTTCATCAACCTTCTTCCTTGTTTCCTCCAACTCCTTTTCTAAGTCTGGATTAGAGCCTACTCTTTCAAGATAAAGATCCACCGAAGATAGGAGAGCCCTCAAAGACAACTCGCGAGAGAATAACGGCACAGAATGTTTGTGAACGAGCGCTTGGATCAGAGCTTGCCCTTCTTCAAGGCTGTCGGTCGCCTTTTGCAATAGAGAAACATCTTCCTCCCGTACTCTGTCCATCTCGTCCTGTAGTCTCGCCAGATCCTCCAACTTCTCGTCCTCTAAGCGTGCACGCTCATTATCCCAAGCTAATCGATCCTGCTCCCAGTCTACTTGTAGTTGCCGCAACTCGGCGTCCTTCTCCTCCAACTGTCGCTGTGATGCCTCTTGTGCTTGTACCAATGTCGACTCGGTTCCTGCAGCCTGAGCCTTGGATGACTCAAGTGCCTTCAATTCATCCTGCAAAGCAGCCAGCCGCAGGTCCTGCTCTTCCCGCTCGCGTTCCCAATCCCTCTTCTCCTCCAACAGATCCTGAAACTCGTTTTCCAGAGACTCGATCTTGGGCATTTCCTGCTCTAGGGCGGCAATGGTGTCCTGGGCGTTCTGTAGCTCTATATCCATCATCGTCTCGACTTGCTCTTTCTCAAATTTTAAATGAGACAGCTCTCTCGCCATATCTGCCTGTTTCTGTCCTGCGGCTTTCAGCGAATCGGTCGCAGCCTTGAGTTTCTCTTCGAGGGAGAAGATTTCTCGGGCGGCAGAATCCGGAGAACGTTGGCGCGTCGGCACGATAGCATCTGCATGACCTGCAAAAAAGTGGGCGCCATCAAACTTGGTGAAAGAAGAGTCGGTGATAGATGTCGCTGTTGGACTGAGTGAGAGGCTTCTATTCGGGGTCTCGTAGCCGGAATCGCGGTGATTGTGAGGAACGCTGTGACCGTTTGCAGACGACGGTGACATCTTTTTCTCCATGCTGCAAACAGAATAGCTTAGAACTCCCGCACGATGTTCCAGTAGGCGCTTATGTATCTCATTTGCTCGCTCCGAGACCCGCCATAATTCCTTCTGTGCAATATCAACGCGGCGATTAGCGGACTCAAGCTGTTCCTCGGTTTGCTTGGACATTTTCTTGTTCGATTGATTGACCTTGGACAAAGATACTGCAGCGTCCCGGATTTTTGTTTCTAGCGTGAGCTTCTTCTCCATGGCGCCAAGTCGAGACATGAGGATTTGGTGTTCCTGTACGTTGTTACACGAATGTTCATAAGTGCATAGCATAACGGCGCACCTTCTTCAGTTCGTCGACTTCTTCAAAACCAAGGATCTCAAATTCTCGGCTGTCCACGACAGCGTCACTGGCCAACAAACTGAGCAACAGTTCGTCACGATTGTTGAGTCGACTGGATGATCGCTTGTGTTCTGAGTCTACGGATGACGGTTTCACGGACTTTCGGGTAACAATCCGAGAGGGAGCTGTTCGCGAGGGTGAGGGCGCAGCGATCGGAGGATTAGGTGACTGTCCGTTGGAAATAATGGCGAACGAGCTAGTAGACATATTTGATGAACGATACGATGACTTTGGCGCAATATCATCGTCCGTCATGAAAGGCGGCGGTTTCTGCCTGTCCTTTCTAAGAAAGAGACCCGCCGTCGTCATCTTTGGGCTTCCGAAGGGTGAGGTAACTCCGTTTGTTGAGGTCGGAGACTGCGGCGGCCACGTCGGACCAGATGTGAGTGAAGGTAGGCCATTGGCATCGATTGGTGGTGGTGGTGGTGGTGGTAGCGGTGGCTCCTGGACCGTGGTGGTCGCCGCACCGAGAAAGCGTCTGACGCCGTTCATACCGACGGGAACCAGGAGTTTGTACTAGTTCTGAACAGCGTTGTTGTGCCTGACTTGCAGCGGAAGCGGTTGGCAAACAATTCCACGTGGAAGTATGTACTTCCGGCGAGGTCTGGATCGCAGCCTTGGCACAACTCTAGAGCCAGATATTCCAATTTGGACCCTTCCGGACCCTATATCATCATCATCATCTTCAACGCTGTCAGAGGCGCCGCCTATGACCATCATACTGAGCGAACGGATTATCTTTCAATAACAGGGAAGCAGTCTTTATCTCAACTTGGCCCCGTAAAGATCTTGTGCGGCCGCAACTGTTCTCCTGGGACTGCAAACCGTGCAGATCTCTCAATATCACCCATGATATTCTGGAACCCTTCTGCTGTCATCTTCTTCATCTTGAATGTTAGGCGGGCCACTCAAGCCAATTATGGCACCAACGACTTCCCCGTCGTTGCAGACGCCATCCATCATACATCCACTTTGAAGACCCCGTTTTACAGGACGTTTTCCACTGAAGAGACGCGTCAATTCCTTCACGAACCATAGCCGGTACAAATTTTACTAACGGTCACTTGCTTCTTGATGCCACTCCGCGCTGCTGATTTGAGCTTCTCCGCTGCGGCGTTCACCTGCTTTGGCGTACGCTCCTTTGGCTTCCTTCCAGCGATCTCCTCCTCCAAACTTGGCGCATATTGAGCAAGTTCTACAAAAGCCGCGCAAGAACCCTCAGGATCCTCTGGAACTGGATAGTTTTTCGAGTCTGTCAAGATGCCAGCAGTGACTTTATTGGCTGTGAGGGTTGAGCCTCGTCTTCTTGGCGGCGGCACCAGAAGGCGCGTCGGATTTCGCTTGCGGGTTGTAGTGGATGACATTGACGATTATCTCTGAGAAATACACGTAAATAGTGGCGTTGGCGTGTGAGATGGTGAAGATAAAATGAAAGAGAAAGAGTTGACTGGGGAAAATGCGTTCAAATAGGTTCGCACATCACGTGTTGAGTATCTGGTGGCTATGGGATTGGGAATCCGCGGGTGGCGGGATCATATCCGCACCTCGGTAGCTCAGCAGAGCACTTCAACAGTATGATAGGGCATTCAAAGAGGGACCATATAAAGAGAAGTGCTTAGCGCCTCCCTTATGCACCATTTATTTTTTCTCTCCACCCTGGCGTAGCAGAAAGTGGAGATTAGCAGTAGGCTCGCCCAGGCGTGGAACGTCTGCGCCAAGTGCAATGATTTAAATGGAAGATGACGGATCAAGAGAGGTCGGAACCGGCAAGAACCCAACTTGGAACAACAGAGTTGTGTGGCGGGTATTACATAGTTCATCAGCACAGCAGCAAATGTTCGAGATTTGAACAAAATCATTATTACTGTTGGAGATTCCGTATGTAATATGCATGGCTTCAGGAAGCGCAGTGTGGCGTCTATTAAGGGAGCCAATTTGAAAGTTAGGAGTATGATAAGAAAAAAAAAAGCCCCTCTTCATTGCAACTGGTATCGCTCGAATCATTAGAGATGCTCTACATTGCCTACAGACAACACAACTGCTTGATGAGTGATCCCTAACGAGATACTGACACTGGTTGCGCATGACGACTGCTAGTAAATGCGCACCATTTAGGAAGGTCGCGTGGCACAACCCTCAACCCTGCTAATGTAAGCCTTACATAAGTGACTTGGGCAGAGGGTTGCCGGGTCGCCTTAAATTCTTTATCTCCCTTTTTTGATTCTCTAGACTTCCCCACCACGAACCAACCGCCCCACACCCGTAAGTCCCGCCACCTCCTTCGTCGTCCTCTACAACGTCAAGCTCATCTATTGTCTGTCGTCAGCTCACCCAACCTTATCTCCAGCTATCGTGAGTGTTTGACGCGCTCCTGTACGCGTCGTACCCATGCTCAACGTTGTCTCTTTCTGCTAGATGCCTGAATCCCGTGAAGATTCTGTCTACCTCGCTAAGCTCGCTGAGCAGGCAGAGCGATATGAAGGTTAGCCCTGATTGCCTCACTTTGCATTTAGCCCCTCTGTGACCTTATCACTCTCAGAAATGGTCGAGAACATGAAGCGAGTTGCCTCGTCAGACCAGGAACTCACTGTCGAGGAGCGTAATCTACTCTCCGTCGCCTACAAGAATGTTATCGGTGCCCGCCGTGCTTCATGGAGAATCGTCTCCTCAATCGAGCAGAAAGAAGAGTCGAAAGGCAACGAGGCTCAAGTATCCATGATCAAGGGCTACCGGGAGAAGATTGAAAGCGAGTTGGCAAAAATCTGCGAGGACATCCTCGACGTCCTCGATAAGCATCTGATCCCTTCTGCGGCGTCAGGCGAGTCGAAGGTGTTCTACCACAAGATGTAAGTTCTTGGATTTATTCGTCTTGTGTTCTTATCCATCGATATGATAGGATGGGCGACTACCACCGTTACTTGGCCGAATTTGCCACCGGCGACAAGCGGAAAGACAGCGCTGACAAGTCTTTGGAGGCGTACAAGGCTGCTTCGGACGTTGCTGTCACTGAGCTACCTCCCACACATCCTATCCGTCTTGGTCTTGCCCTCAATTTCTCTGTCTTCTACTACGAAATTCTCAACAGCCCCGACCGCGCATGCCATCTCGCCAAGCAGGCATTCGATGACGCTATTGCCGAGCTCGACACTCTATCCGAGGAGAGTTACAAAGATTCGACACTCATCATGCAACTCCTCCGCGACAACCTCACGCTCTGGACGTCCGACATGCAGGACTCTGGTAAGCCATCTTTTCAAATATGGAGGGACTCTTCTAAGTTTTCTTGGTTCTGTAGATAAGCCTCCTATTGAGAAAGAGGAGCCCGCTGACGCACCGGCTGACGAATAGATGCTACGCTTGTTTTTTATTACCGTTCTCACGTATTTCGACCCTTGACGTTTCATCGTCGTGCTTCTTCTCTGCATCAACCCTCTCATTCATTGTCATCTGCATACACACCCTCACCAGCCGCGATGTTATATTATCCGTAGTCTCCATGATCCTTTTGTCGTGTTTCGTAAAATGATAAAAGATATTCAGCTTTAAGATACTCATCATGAGCTGGTGCCAATGGTTGCTTTATTAGGCCAAGGTGATATTGTACTACATTGGCTTTTGATCTAGAGACGGTTATTTTTGTTCTCGTCATCAGACGCCCACCACCCATGCTTTTCGCTTTGCTATGACACATGCAAAAGCTACGATATTTCTCGGCCTTTTTTCTCTAGTCTCGGTTGTTATATTATATCTATCAACGTTGGACGTTCAGAATAATCTTTCTCCACAAGGATGTCGCATGTCGAGGATGTCGCCGTCATATATCCTGCAAACAGAGTTCAACGCTTCGTGGACTTCACTGGCCAACCGTTATAGCCTCTGGTTGTATCGAGAGGTAGGATGGGAATCCAATATGGTGCGATGGCGATTGTAGTATATGATACTGTTTTTTTAGTTTCTCAACAGATACATGGCAGCCAGCCCGTTTTGTTCATTCCAGGAAATGCTGGGTCGTCACGTCAAGTCAGGTCTATATCCTCATCCGCGGTTCGGCAGTTCTATTCTTCCCCTCATTTGTTGTCGCAAGCATTCGAAAGCACGTCCTTCAAACCGCTGGATTTCTTTGCTGGTGCGTGTGCCATCAAGACTAAGAGGCTCGTCTGATCTTTTTCTTTCCATACAGTTGAATTCAATGAGGACCTTTCAGCCTTCCATGGGCCCACCATGGAATCTGAGACTGCATACACGGCTGACGCCATTGCTTATATTCTGTCCATGTATCCTCCAAACACGCCAATCATAATTTTAGGCCACTCCATGGGAGGCATCATTGCTACGTCCCTTTTACCTTCAGACAAAATATCAGCTATCATAACCATGTCGACACCTCATCTCCTTCCGCCGGCGCGCTTTGACCAGCGTATCGATCGAATATACGACCGCAACAAGCTCGTGCTGGAGAGCGACCCGACACCGATACTGTCGATATGTGGAGGTGCGACGGATATGATGATACCCTCCGAGTCGTGTATTTTGGAGAGGATGGATGCTCCGTTTAGACGCACCGTATTCTCATCCGCTCTCGAGGGAGCGTGGACTGGAGTGGGACACCGGGAGATGGTGTGGTGCCATCAGATTCGATGGCGGGTAGCCAGAGCCGCCCTGGAGCTTGGTGATGCTACGTCTGTGGAGAGACGTGGGACTGTCTTGGATAGATGGTTAAGGGATAGGAGTTGGTTTCCACCAATTGGTGCTCCGCCTCAGCTGTTAGAGCGTGATTCGTATAGGATTCTCTCCGAGAATGAACAGCTCGTGCTTGATAGGCCACGGGTTCGAGAGACGTATCTCTTGCCTGTTCTCAGTGGTCCATCAACGAAATTGACGCTATATGTGTCGCAGGGATCTGTGTTGGCTATTTCTCCGCATAATCCAGGTCCGTTAGACGTGTCGGTTCTGCTATGTCAGGCGACAGATGACGAGGCCTTTGAATGCGAATCGCTAGAGCCTTCAGTGTTGAAGCTGATACCTAATCCGAATCCAGGGATACCATTTCCTGTTCCACATGAAGGGTCCGATGAGTCCGAAGGGGTGGTCCTTTTCGAAGTGGATCTATTGTCCCCGCGTCAGGGCCGTCCAAAGTGGGTAGGCATTAGACTTGATCGAGCTGATGGATTCGGTTGGGTCATCGCACAACTGGCCCCCGAGACCATCGTAGTTCGTGATGTCAAAATCACAAGTAAAGTATTTTCTTTTTTTTTGTGGGTGATCTGAAACTGAATATTGTTCTGCTTGACAAGCACTACTTGCAGGAGGCGTTTTGACTCATCTGCCTGACACCAGGGCTCTGCATATATCCGTACACTTTCCTGAGTTATTGTCAAATGCGCTCATCGTTTATCGTTTGTCGCCACGTATATCTACCCCTGGCAATGGATGCAAAGGTACGGTCTAGGTCTTCATATTTTGATAGGACTGTAACCTCTCGGGACATAGAAAAGTATCTATCGCCGTTGCTAGTTCACAAGTCTCATCCGGCGGAGACACACTACTTCCCCTTGAGGTTGACGCCCCACCGTGACATCCTGCTTCATACGCACGGTCCGGCACCTTATATAGATACCGCCGTGTCGGTCCGTGGCGTTTACCTTGATCTGCTGTTTTCTGGTGGCGATGATTGCAGGGCAGATGTAATAGATTTGGAGATTGCTTGGACGGCCACGGTCGGTCGTTGGGCATCACGTTACTTCACTACTATCATCTCTTGGGCCATCGGTATTGTGTCGCTGATCATGTTAGAGCTATGGAAGACATCTGATAAAGGGATCGGTGAGTTAGCGATTATTGTCTGGATACCCGTGTGTTGATCTTGTGAATGCAGCAGTAGTTACACCGATGGTAACACAGTCCCTCGACTTCTTTTGCCGACGAAGACTCTTAGCCTTGATGTTGGGATCATTCGTGTTTTCCGTCGTCCCGGTTCCCGTGAACTATTTCTTGGGCACCAAAGGGGAACCATTTTTCTCGCCTCTAGCACCGCTGTTTATGGCGGTCGCATACGGCCTTGTCGTCGTCAGCTACTGGTTTCTATTCGCTTTCCTTTGGCCGCTCAGGTTGCTATCCAAATTTTCGCTTGGAAGGTGAATTTCTTGACGTCGAGACACTCTTTCAGGGACACTGATAGCGAATGACGTCAGATCACATCGGGAAATCATCAGTTTCAGCAGAGGAACAGCTGTTTCGATGTCGCTTATTCTTTTCCTTGTCTTCCTTGTTATCCCGTGGCAGGTTGCATTTCTTGGGTGTTGGTTTGTTCATGCCGTTACTTGTGCTTCAAGTCCTCGTAGAGGGAACAATTCGTTCAAATCACCGTCGGGTTCGGTGATGATTTCCCTGATGGATTCACATCCCCATACAAACGGTGAAGAACTTGACGTTACTACGGAGCCCGTCGATCAATCATCTCTCCAAATCGCGAATAATTACAACCACAACATGCACCTACTGCTTCTCATGACTTGGCTTTTACCTCTCGCAGCCCCGGTCCTGGTGGTCTGGATACGGACGCTTGTGACCGCGGGGTTTACAACGCCTTTTGATGGAGACCATTTTGTTCTGAATGTGGCTCCGTTTCTCTTTCTTGTAGACTTTGCATCGAGAACGACCGGTCCTTTATTTGAGAAAACACGGTAAGAACATTCCTCGTTTCCGCTGTTATGTAATTAATGTCCTGTATGTCAGTCTCGAAAGGATAGTATCTGTCCGATGGTCGCTTCTGGTTGTTACCGTGGTGGCGTTTGTATACGGTCCGAAACAGGCTTACTTGGTGTTCGATGCGACAAAACTCGTCGTTGGATTGATGGTAGTCTTCAGAATTGGCACGAGATACTGGGCTGGGTCTTTTTCAAGTGCAAGTACTAGACCTATTCGACAATAAATATTCTAGACAGTCTTTTCGTGGTAGATGATCGCGGACTTTGAATACTTCCATCACGTGGCCAGATCGATCTCAATTGATCGGTTCCGGGCTAGAATACTCCTACCGCCCTGATGCCACGCCTCGACAAATTTTAAACCTGGGAGAGGTACAAGAAATAGCATTGCAAGCGATCAGGCATATTGACCTGTTGTACAAGTGCGCTGGTAGAGACGCACAAATATGTTTGTGTACAGCTGCGGCGGCTGACCGTTGAATTTGTCGATGGAGGGATCGGATCAACAGGGGAAAGGGAGAATAGCAACAATTGCAATATCATATACGAGTCAGTCGATGTGCGCTCAAACTAGCCGAGCGGGCCTATTTATGAAGCAGACAGCCGCACGGAAACAATACCTTGCAGGAGGTGGGGACTGATTCGTACCTGTATAGGGTAATATCGAGTCATCAATATATGCATCAGTCGAAGTCTTAGGTGGGTAGACGCCAAGGAGCCAAATATAGCTGCCCTGTTTCGGGAATGTTCCTGCAGACACATTGCACAAAAGACGAGGAGAAGATAAAAGTTACCAGTATTTTCAGCCGAGAGCCTTGCTTTCTATTGTAAGTGAAGCGTAGAAACTGCTCCTGCAAGAAGGGGTGACGGCATTACCCGCCTATTCAGCAGATCACACAAGAGTGGATTGATCCATTTCGGGGCATTTCCCACGCTGAAGGAGCTGAGTTTGAAATTCGTGAAGCGGTGAGCAGCAACTGTAAGCAAACGACCACCGGAACGCCAGGATACAAATCGGAAATCATACAGGGGACTCCGGGAATTTTCTCTCTCGCCTTTGTACTTCATGCATAGTAATACCCCGACCTCGACGCTTCGGGGGTCGCCCTCGAAACGGAGCAAATCTTCCCGATTCACCACGCCTACCCCAGCACAGGCCGTATCTAATTCTGCCAGCTCCTCCAAATTGCCGGACCAGCCAATTTCTACATTTTACTCATGTATCAGTATTCCAGTTGAAGGCGCGATTCCAATTGAAGACGAGCCGCCTCATGATTCTAGGACTCCTTTGCCAGAGCCTTCCTCTGAACAGAAGCGGGCCCCGCGGAAATCAAAGACAGATGCTCTGGCTGCTATGAAGGACAGAGAAATATCGTACTCGGTCGATCGCGATGACTCTGAGCCTCCCGACATTTTAGAAGAGATGTACCGCAATGCCGTTCCCATCACCGTCTCTCCCACACTTGACCTCTCCACCGTTAAAACAACAAGTCCCCGTGGCTATAAACCTCCACCTAATGTCTCTCGCCCCTTCGAAATAAAGGATTGTCCTGAATATTTTCCTACTGCGGAGGAATTCAAAGACCCGATGGCGTACATCAACTCTATCGCAGATGAGGCCAAAGCTTTCGGTATCTGCAAGATTGTACCGCCAGAAGGCTGGAAGATGCCTTTCGTGACAAACACTGAAGTATGTGCATTTTTCAGCCGTTGCAGCTTCTTTTTCTGACAATTGTCATTTTTCAGACATTTCGCTTCAAGACCCGTCTGCAGCGTCTTAACTCGATAGAGGCCGCATCTAGAGCAAAGATAAACTTTTTGGAGCAACTGTATCGATTCCACAAGCAGCAGGGGAATGCGCGTGTTGTTATCCCCACCATCAACCACAAGCCACTGGATCTGTGGCTCCTAAAGAAGGAAGTCAACAAACTGGGAGGATATGAAGCGGTAAGCGTATATGCGTCTTGGAGCCTGTAGCCTTCGCCATATTATCTTTTGTCCTCATATTCTATTCAGGTCACCCGAGATAAGAAATGGTCAGAACTGGGCAGGCTCCTCGGCTATCGAGGTATACAAGGTCTGGCCACACAGATCAAACAGTCCTATTTGCGAGTTGTTTTGCCCTACGAGCGTTTCTGTGATCAACCAAGGAACGCGCCTAACACACCTTCAAACGCCCAGCCGGGTAAGCCATTGAATCGGTCGGATACGAATGGCGTCGACCCTGCACCTACATTCAGTCCCCTTACCCCTTCGAGTCCGCTCTCAGAGCCGCCACTTGACACGGATGAAGAAGATGACGGCCCCGATACGCCCACTAGGCCAAGACGAAGCAGGCGGGTCAACTCCTCTGATCCCACAGCTTGTGTGTATCTGCTTACTCATCATCGATATATGCGCTCATATCATTACAGCCAACTCGAAGAAATCCGTTGTTAACGCTGGTCCTGCCATCCCGGTTGATATACCGGCTGTTCTTCACTCTAAAATTGGCGGTAAGGAAATAACAGAGGTGCGTTTTACTTAAAGAATATAATCTCCCGCGTATATGGAAATCGTACAATCTAGGCACACTGTGAAATATGTCTGCAGGACGACAATGGGACCTCCATGCTATTGTGTGATGGCTGTGACTGTGGTACATCACGTCTCCGCAATGTTTCTAATGATATCTGGGGCGCTAACATAATCTCAGGTTTTCACACTTTCTGTTTGACGCCACGCGTAAAGAGCATTCCCAAAGGACAGTGGTATTGCCACGCCTGCCTTTCAGGGTCTGGCCGTGATTTTGGTTTTGACGAAGGCGATGAGCACACTTTGTCCACTTTCCAAGCTCGGGACGCAGAATTTAGGCGCGTTTGGTTCAAAACGCACCCCCCATCAAGGCCGGAAAATGCCATAGATGTCGACGATCCTACAAATACCCGTATCGGTAATGTGACGCTCTCCGAGTACGATATGGAGAATGAGTTCTGGCGATTGGTTCAGACACCTCATGAAACGGTTGAGATCGAGTATGGTGCTGACGTGCATTCTACGACACATGGAAGGTGAGCGGCTTTTTTTCGGCTAGCCCGGCCCCGCATACCATTCATGATTCATAGTGCCATGCCTACCATGGAATCACATCCATTAGATCCTTATGCAAAAGATCCTTGGAATCTTAACAACATTCCTATTGTCAATGACTCTCTGTTGCGGTTCATCAAATCGGATATTTCTGGCATGACTGTTCCATGGACTTATGTGGGAATGACATTTTCGACTTTCTGTTGGCACAATGAGGTACGTTACTCCTGCCGATCATAAAATGAGAGTTGGATTGATCATTACGGCAGGATCATTACACTTATAGTATTAACTTCAGTAAGTCTCAGATTGTCTGTCTTCTCGTCATATATTGATCGTTTTTGCAGTGCACTGGGGCGAAACGAAAACCTGGTATGGAATCGCCGGCGAGGATGCAGCTTTATTTGAAGCTGCAATTCGCAGCGAAGCGCCTGATCTGTTCGAAGCACAGCCTGATCTTCTTTTCCAATTGGTCACGCTCATGAATCCGCAACTTGTCAAGGAGGCTGGTGTACGCGTGTTCGCCTGCAATCAGAGGCCGGGAGAATTTGTCATCACGTTCCCCGAATCTTATCATGCAGGTTTCAACCATGGTGTAAGTACTCGTCTTCAATTTACTCCGCTGCCCCAGAGAAATGATCTTTATTTGCAGCTTAACTTCAACGAGGCTGTCAATTTCGCGCTTCCCGATTGGTTGCCCCACGGTAGAGATTGTGTGCAGAGATACCGCGATCACAGAAAGCTACCCGTGTTTTCGCATGATGAGCTGCTCATTACCATTACTCAGCAGTCACAATCAATCACAACGGCTATATGGTTTGTCTTACCGCTTGTGTACCCTTCGCGGACCTGACGTTCACATTTGTAGGCTAATAGACAGTCTGAGGGAAATGACGGATCGGGAAATGCACGACCGTGAGACCGCACGCTCTATGGGCATGGCACAGATTTTGGATGAACAAGATCGACCAGAAGATCACTATCAATGCGCTGTCTGTAAAACGTTTTGCTATCTCTCTCAGGTCACTAGCAGTTGCACTACGCAAGTTGTGTGCGTAGACCATGCGCATCTGCTCTGTGACAAGACCGATCACCAGGCTACGTACACGCTACGAAAACGCTTCTCGGACGATGAATTATTGGAGATCCTTGCTAAAGTCGAAGAACGTGCTGGTATACCCTCGACATGGCAAACAAAGCTTTCCAAACTGCTCTCTGATAGCCCTAAGCCACCCCTTCGCACTCTTCGTGCCCTTCTTGCCGAAGGAGAACGAATCAACTACCACATACCCGAACTTGCACATCTTAAAAAGTGTGTCGCCAAAGCTAATGAATGGGTAGATGAAGCCAATGCATTCATCGTTCGCAAACAGAGTCGCAAACGGTCGAGGCGCTCACGAGGCCGTCACGCTCTGAATGACGTGGATGATTCGGATCGACCTGATCGAACTTTGGATGACCTGTATCAGGTGCTGAAGAAGGTTGATATGCTCGGTTTCGATTGTTCTGAAATAGCAGCGCTACAAAGTCTGGCACAGCGGGCTGAGGATATGAAGAAACAGGCTGACGTGCTCATGGGAGAAGACCAGGACACTGAAGCGCAAGACTATATCGATCGGTGCAGACGTCTTCTCTTAGAAGGCTCGTCTTTGAATGTTCTACTTGATGCATTAGTACGAGTGGAACAGATCGTCGAAAGGGTACAGCTGAGCAAGGAGCTCAAGGAGAAGCTGGATGATGGGGAGATTTCGCTGACACTGGAGGACGTGCGCCAGCTTCTGACACGTACTCGTGCGTGCGATATGCCCGCCGACGATAAGCACGTGCAGCTTTTAGAAAGCCGGCAGCGTGTCGGAGACACTTATGAGGATCGGGCAAAGAGTGTTCTCTCCCTACCCATCAAAACCATAGAAGAACTGGAGGAATTTGCTAACCTGGACAGTAGCATCCCCATTGATCCCACAGTTCTCGATCGGCTCATGCAAGCTCGTGCCAAAGCGAAAGACTTCGAAAAGCAGGCTCTAGCTTGGCTACATCCTGAACCTGATATATCAAAACCCCGACCACAGGACGTTATGCGACTTGTAAACCGTGCTGAGAAGGACTTCAAGATAGCTGCAGTGCGCGATCTCAAAGTCACTGCTGAAATTGCGGTTGACCTTGAGACTCGATGCGAACAAGTGAAGAACAACAAGTATCGCAAGTCCTCGAATGAGGATTTGTTCGCTACTTTGAAGCAATGGCGCTCTTACACAAGGGACCATCTCAAAATGTTTACTTTGCCGTTCTTTGACGAGGTTGAGAAGGAACTTGGTAAACACGAACAGTGGCTGAAAGAATTACCTTGGTGGTGCGAGGAGCACGAACAGCCCGAGGGTCAGGATATCCTTGACGATGTGATGGCTTGCACTCGCCAAGAGGACGACGACCCTCCCACAGACGAGTTCTTCACTTGCATCTGCAACAACCCTGTGCGCCCTCCGCCTGCAGGAATTCCATCTGACGCCGTGCAATGCGACTATTGCTTCGCTCGATTCCATGGAGAGTGTGCCAAAAACGGAGGTTCTTGTCCATTTTGCGACCATCATCACTGGAATGGCGAAATACGTAAGGAACGGAACTGGCATTTCTGCTATCTTCCTCACATCCTTCGGAACGCGCCTGATATTACTAAGAACTATTCTGATGACTGGAGGCAGTTGCAGATCATCATTCATCGCGTCGATCGCCTATCAGCCGTGATTGGCCAGTTTCTGTCGTATACGTCACAACCTGATCATCAACGACCCGATTTCATTCACCAAGTCCGACACTACATGCGTAAACTCTACAAGATCCAGTTTGCGGTTTCCCCCAACCCAGACGTTTCGTTCGGACTGGATCTTGCCCAGCTTCATCGTATATTGGCTGGACGACCCCCTCTTATGCGGACGAAGAGACGCAAACGGCCCAAGTTCACCTTTGGCCAGGACATTGACCGTGACTGGTCGGACGGTACGCGATGCATTTGCAGAGGTCGTACACCTTACCTTCTCAATTATGCAATGGTCCAATGCGAGTCATGTGAAAAGCACTATCACTCAGGTTGTGTTTTCTTCCCTCAGGAACCTACGACTCATGCCCGGAAGCATTACATATGTCCTCTTTGCTGTTTACGGAAGGGAAGACCCTATCCATTTGCTGAAGTCAGGGTAAAACCTTACGGTGAGTTGTCCAATCTAGCGCTGCATAATCTGGTGGTGATATCTCTTGAAGCAGAAGGAAACATCGCCCCCGAAATCTACGTTAATGTTGAAGAGATGCTGGAAAGTTGTAGCAAGGATATCATTTACAAGAAGCTGCCTCCGCCATACATGGCAACGCTTTTCGTTGAATTGGTTAAGTTCAGCCCTTGTCAGCCGGAGACACCAAATGTTGAGCCGCATCCGTTGTCCTCTTCTTCAATACCCCCACCTGGTTCTTCTCGAGCTCCTCTTCCTCCCCATAATAGCGTGTCTCATCATACCCGACATCTTCCTGCTGCCATACCTGTAGCATCATCTTCTCGACCATTATCGAATTCACCCTCGTCTGGTCAACATCCTCCACCACCTCCGTGGTCCCGGTGGAACACGTCTCACCCTCTTCTTGGATCGTCCCCAACCTTGCCACGACGCGAGATCATACCGATTGAGCCTCAACCCCTGAGAAAGCGCAAGCACTATGACGAATCGCCTTTAGAAGAGTTCAGGCCTCTTAGAGCACCTTCGCCAAAGCGGCGCTCTCTCGAGCCTCCAAATCTCCCATCGGTGTCTCAAACCGCCACGCCTGTCCTTCCACCTCTGCACACACCCCGGCAGACGCTCTCGCCGTCCCTCGCTATGATTATGTCTACGCCAGATCCACCGTATTCAGGTCCTACGTATGATGCACATAATGCTCGTTTACTTGACGTCAAGACCTCACCTTCCCTTATACCGAGAAATAGGTGATGCATAGATTTTTGGGATTAACTTTGAGTGTCTGGTATGCTCTTTTTGCTCTACATGCTGTCGTATTTATATGTCCTCTCCCTTGTAATATCAATGCTATATTATAAACTGGAAGAAACACGTCCTCGTTATTTACATGTGCAGTGTGAACGAAGAAAAGCGAACCCAGATATAATCGTGTCGACTAGAACGACGCTACGGTGCGAGTAAATAACTTCAAGGCTGTGTATTACAATGGTCAACAATGGAGTAGGTGCAAGTGCCTACGTTTATCAATATCTGATTCCATATCTAATGATTAGACGCAATGTGTTCTTTCCGACAACTGGTTATTATAACGCACACTGCTTGTACCTCACCGCTATCCTTGCTTGCAGTATTACTGCGGTCACAGGATGATAGAAATACAACAATTATAATAACAATATCATGAAATCATGAATGCTGAAGTCTATCGCACCATAAACTTGTACGTCGAATAGCCTCCGATGAGTGCGAAAGTGGCGAGACAGGCAATTATCGAGATGAACCAGGAGTAGCCCTGAGAACGCCGTTATAAACAAGATGGAGATGAGATAAATCTTGACGAGACTCACTGGGACACCCTGGCCAGGTACGTGGACGTTCATTCCCCAAAGACCTATTCAACGGATTCAAGCTCGTATAGAACATATTTGACTTTGACACTGAACGTACCGGTAACCAAGTTCATCGGAATAAGTATGGTACCAAGTGCAGTCAGTTTCGAGAGGACATCGTTGATCTGGTTGTTGGCATCTGTCATCTCGATAGAGATCTGAGCCAGGTAGTTCGAATGAGAGCGAGACAAGATCTTCTCATAGTGGTTGAGATTCTGAGTCATGGTGATAAGATGGTCTTGAATATCTGAGAGGTAGAGACCCTAGGAAATATCCGTGAAGATGGCGCATTGCACGTAGCTGCGAAGACCTTACAATATCTGAAGTCGGTGCAACTTGCCAATTCTCATTGCACCTCTTTGCTAATCCTTTTACGACGTCGGCTTTGTTTCCCATAAGCCGAAGCAAGCCCATGACCTTCTTTCTACAGGTCCCGATCCTCCTAAGCATGTCGCTCTGATCTGCTTCCTTGATAATGAGCACGATCTCATCGATACTGTCGACTTCGTATTCAATATTTTGAATTAATGGGCCGAAAGCGTCGGTAATGTCATCAATGAGAGCGTAGGAAATCCAGTCAGAGGTGACGCTGATATAGTCCTTCAGCTGTTTAATGCGCCGACGGACGTTTTGTGGGTGAGGAGTGGGTCGGAAGTGGAACTATGTCATAGAAGATATAAGGGTTGATAAATGCAACGACACATCAAAAATTCTTACCGATATTGTACCTTCACGGAAAACGATAATATACATATTGAGTGGTTCTAGATGTGTAGGGCTGTATGGATCTTGGTCAAAACTGCGGAAGCAGACTAAGTAGTAGTTGCGGAAAAGCTCGATCTTCTCGCGAATTTCTTCCATCTGGATGTCTTCGGTTGTGAGAGGGTGAATTGAGAAAACCTGTAAAGTCGTGAGCGAATCCAGAGGAGCAACAGCATTATGTGACCGTCCACCTTGCTCAATACTTTCATTTCCTCGTCTGTAGGACTCTGTACATCCAGCCACCACGTTGAACCGTCAAAGTTGCCATTTGGAATCATGCCACCAGTTATCTTATTGCCAATGTCATAAGAGGGTTTTTCAGCTGGTGGGAAATAACCGTGCGACCCGTTCCTTGGGGCATAACTTTGGCGTCCATCGGTTTGTGCATTGGGACGAGAATTCGAAGGTGAGGCCGTCGCAATACCGGCAAAGAGGTCTTCGAACGATTGACCGTCGGCGGGTAGCTCGCTAAGACTTCGTGCATGAATGGTAGCGGAGAGTGCGTTGGAGTAAAAAGAGAAGCGATAAGGCCGGTCATGGCCAGCATTCAGTATGCCAAACCCTGGTCCAGGTGGAACTTGAGCAGGGAGGTCGTCGGTCGAGGAAGGGAGCTGGATGCCACCAAATGGCATCCCGAGACGACCTGGAAGAGAAGGAGGAACTGTGCCTGCGTTTCCTTCGAACAAAGCAAGCTTCTTGCCGATGCCTTTGCGCATACGGGGGTTCGAATTGCTCTGACTGAGCTTGCGCTGGCGAGCCGTGCGGGGGGTCGGGATTGTGAAGACTGAAGGACCTGATCCTTCTGAAGGACCCTCGTTGGGTAAGTTCCCAATACGTGGCTCTGGTAGAACAAATTTTGTTGCTGGGGATGATATACCCAACGCTGCCTTTTCTGTCTCTGCGAACTCTTCCATCATTCTAAAGTCGAATCTGGCATGGGAAACATTTGCCTGGTATGTGGGCAGACCGAATGCAGAAGACGGAGGATCATCGTGAGGTTCGAAGTTAGTGTCAAGACTGACAAGCAAGGATGGATCGTGACTCTGATGAACGTGGCCCCGCAAGTCGACGAAGGATGGCTGTCGTCTTGTTGTCGCCGCATCTTCTCCAGCATTGTCTGCCTCTGCATCGCCTCGCGCAATGTTAATCTCGTTCTCTTCATTTGGTGAGAGCACCGATATTGGCTGGAATGAGCTGTCCTGAGGAGCTGGAGTTTCGTATGGTGATAAGACAGGAGATGAGATTATAGTCTCTCGACGGGCTCGGGAAAGATGCATGGCCATGTCAACGTCCATGGTCCTTTGACGTTCCACTACTTGGGGGTCATTGGGGTCGAAAGAGCGAGCAAGAGTGGGCGAATGTCGAGGACGGTCATCGCTGGGACTAACGTTGTCCCTGCAACGAACTGGAGAACCGCCTTGCACCGAAGCCGGCGAGGTCGACAGGACAGGAATATCATTTGGGGGGGAGCTCATCGTCACAGGCAAAACAATGACAGAAAAGTAGAAGAGATCGCTCAAAAAGTGCGGAATACACCGACCCTCGGCAATTAGGCTGCCGACACGACACTATGTCGGAATGTCTGCATTTGGCTTTTCAGGCACAATAAGGTGACATAATGCATTGAAATGCCGGAAAGCCTGACTAGGCCTTGTCGGTCTGAAAGTGCATTAAGTTATGTGCCTGAAAAGCAATGACACCTAAAACAGAAATATAGTTACCAATGTCTGATAATGCTTCGGCCCGGTTGTTAAGGCAGAAAATTATGTGATTCATTTCATTTAATTAGGTTCTTAAACTCATGGATTAATTAATACAATTCAAGCAAATCTAACAGAAAGGACAGCTTAATAAATAATACAGTACAATATAATAGCAAGAGTCAAACCAGCAATCTTTTATAAAATGATTATATAACAATACAACAGTAATATAAAATAACTATTAGACTATTTAAATATTAATATTAGAGGAAATTGGGCTATTATTATTACTATTTTCATTTTGGAGGCTACTGCAGAGAAAGTCCAATGACACAATCACTTTCAATGTGCAGCCAGTAATTTTGCCAGGAATCAAAACTAAACATGTATAGTTGGTATTATAGATAAAGATAGATTGATGTTTCACTATAGAGAAATGCATTATACACTAGTGTGAGACTCAGAACTTGTAATTAATCCAGAAATATCTTCTATTTCTTCTTATACTATTTCCATCCTTATCATGTGCTTTTCAGCCTTTATCATTATCTTATATCCACTAAAATCTCATCAGATTCTATTCAGTCTTGCAGAAACTGATGCTCATTGAGGATTGAGCCTGTCTATATCTTTAGCACTAGGTCTTTCCTAATTGCCTTCTTCTGAAGCAATCACATGTTATCAGACAATCTAATTCAAGTCTACTATTTATCTTCTTTCTCCATCAGTTCTAAATTTCTTCTAATGGAAAGAGAGAGTTCTCTCATTGGATAACTCTCTTACTGTCAGATGACAATAACAATCACAGATGCTCTGCACTGCAACTGCCAGGATCTGATACTAACTGATGATAAAGCAAGATGATGAGGATAATAGAGGTGAGATAGAGAAGTCAGTAGAGTATGCCCATCTATATGAGAGATAACAGGGGTAGTCACACCAAGAATCAAAGAGTTTAGTCAGTATATAGACCTTAGCTCAAGACTAGAGTATATCACTATATACTACTGACTTAAATACTGTATAAAAAAGTCTTAGCTATCTCAAGCCAAGCTATTGTCTCACTGCTGCAGACCAACTACTCATTGTCTAATGACAATACCTTTAATCTTATACTGTGTGACTGTGACTTCTACAAGATTTTAATAGAGGGACAATGTAAGTATTCACTATAAATGAGTGTAAGTAATAGTTGTGGATATTGTGGTAATATACACATACTTCAGGCACAGCAATAGTAGAATGACTGAGGTATGTGAATAACTACAGACAAAGTATATAAGTAATCATAAGGACAAGAGGTTGATATAAAAGATAAACAATTAAAAGTGAAACATACTGATATAAGGTATAGATATCTTCTAACACTCTCTTATATCTGAACTACACTATTGCAACAACATTGAGAGTCTTCAAGTATTGGTTATGCATATCATGAGCCAATGGCTTGATAAACATATCTGCTAGATTCAAGTCATGTTAAATAAACTCAATCTTCAAGTCATCATCTTAAATATACTCATGAATAAAGTGCTTTTAAATATTGATGTATTTAATCTTGTGGTGAGACTTTATGTTTGACATCAGAGCCACTGCTTCTTGGTTGTCTCTGTAAAGTAGAGCTGGATGAAGCTGCAGAAGTTGGACTTTCTTTATTCATGACATTATCTACATTATCTGCTGCACTGTTAGATCTGCTCAACACATGACTCTAAACATATAATAAACTGATGCTATGTCAAATTTGTACAACTACATCAGAGTCCACTTTTGTGTGTATTGAGTAGTGATAGATCAAGGCTGTATAAATTAGGCTTGAGAGAAGAAGAGTGATATAAATAAACTTTAGCTCAAAGCTAGTCTACTACAGTGAGAGCTACACTACTTATATATGTTTTCTGTATATGATAAATATAGTTTCTACTAATTGTGTGTTTCTGTACTATAGTGCTATAGTGTCTGATCATCAAATGTGAGACAATAGGATATTGTCTGTTGGTGAAGCATCTATTGCATGTTAAAGAATAATAGTGTAAATGTTGCAATAGTGACTATCTATATTATTTTCACACTGTTTCCACATCTTTATTGTCCTGCAATCATGCCTTTTAACAACTGATCTACTGTTGCTCATTCTTAATTGTTTCAGGCATGAACACCAGATGTTTGTTGTATGATTAGCATATGATAGTATATTTATAGAAAACTCAGACATGTATTTAAGTAGCTTAGCTGTGGCCTTAAGCTCCAGCTTTAGACTAAAGTTTATCCTTTCCAATCTACTAAGATCTGACTCTAAGCATTGCTCAACTGATTGCATAAGCATTAGCTTACACATCTAAGCTATAGTAAGTAGTGCTTGCCTGAATGTGAGGCACACTCTTATATTTGGTCTTATTTGTTATAGTTAGTTGCTAACAATTAGTCTAAAGCTTGACTGCCTTTCTCTCAGCTAATGCTGAGAGTACTACATGGAACCTGCCTTATACTTTGCTATTGCAGTCTTTCTGACCATCTTCATAGCCATACTGGTCATCCTTTACATCATCTACATCTACAGATGAGAGATTCACAACTAATACTGCAATCTACTGGTCCTCTAGAGATCTTCCTCTACTGCTTGACTTTTCTAATCCTGACCACCTCAGTATACCACCACCCAGCATTATGATGTCTCAGAAACATCATATGCTATTGACATACTCTATCAGATTGAAATGACTCATATCTAAGATGAGCAGGAAGTCCAACTTTCTGTTGAAAATACACCAGATGGTGTCCACTTTGTGGACATCAAGACAGAAGAAGAAAACATTCTTTGAAGAAACTATAGCACACAAGCATCACTAATTGAGATCACTGATAATGATCTTTATGAGAGCTTTGACTATAGTGGGTGAGCTCTGGCTATAGAGGATGGACAAGAAAGCCCCATGAATGTATGTGAATCCCACATATCTTTTGACCAGAAAAGCAGCCCTATCATCATCAGTTCCAATGACAAATCTGAACATGAGACTCTTCAGCCTTCCTGAAGGCATGAAACTCCCATTCTATGCCTCTTTTGACTATGACTGGTCACATCAGAGTCTAGCTCTGGTAGCTCTGACATTTCTCTTGTTGCAAGATAAGAAACCACTGAGCCTTGTGGACCAAGTCTGCAATGAGTATTTAGTGAGAAGTGCACTTCTTCTCCTTCCTATTCCCTTCTCTTTTGACTCTTCTCAGGTCATGACCCTGGATCTAGGCTTCACAGCTCAGGCCCTTCTACCAATATGACTGATCAAGCTAGAGACACCATTAAGCAACTTCAGAATGCTGAAGCATGCTATTAAGCTAGCTGCAGGGAATAAAGGCTTAGTCAGCAACTAATAGCCTATCAGCATTATGAGCAGAAACTTGCACAAGATTTATAGGGCTACACTATTGACAGCTAGAAGCATCCATGCTCCTGGTACACCAGCAACCACTATCTCCAGCAGGTTGCCTATCTCTATCCTGACAGTTCAGCTTTTTATGCTAAGCTTTTCACTAGTGGCAGTTGTCATCTCACACCAGTCATCTTTATGCATGATTCAGCAGAGTAGCAGCATCTTCATGTGCTCTATAATGACTAGAGGACCTTCAGAGCTTGAGTTCATCATCAAAATAGAGCATGAGTGGAAGTAAAGAGAGTGAGTGGCTGCAGGAGAAGTATTAGAAAATATGGGAGGAGATGGCATATATGCTGCTTAAAGAAGCATCATAGCACATGATGGATCTGAGTTACTGCTGGGTGGAGACTCAGTGGCTGAAAGAGTGAGATGAAATTTTCAAGTACAATATGATGGCTATGACTATATTTAAATTCAATTCACAATTCTCTCTCAGACTATATCAAATGCCAGTGCTATACAAGTCAAAATAGCAGCATGAACCTATGCTGGCCAGTCTGCCATCTCAGCCCACAATGCCAAATCCTTGAGTCTATAGCCTATGACTCTATGCCAGGGCTGGCAATAGCCAAGCCAGACTCTCTGGTGAAAGCAAAGAGCCAGAACAGACTCTATTGCCTGACTCCTGACTGACCTTACAAAGTTCAGGCAGCTCAGCCTAAACATCTGAAGATAACTCCAGCCTGTGGTCTCTCTCTTACAGACTATCAGACTCTCTCCAATGGCTGACAAGCACTATGGACAATGATACTGTTAGATCTAACTGGCACATGATCTGAACATGTGATAAACTAGTGCTGTATTATATTCATACAGTCATATTAGAGTTCACTGAATATGTTCTTGATGGGCAAGTGCTTTAAAGCCAGAGATAGATTAGGCTCAAGAGAAGATAGTGTGAGATAAACTTATAGCTCAAAGCTAGACTACTACAGTGAGAGCTATCCTACTTATATACTGTTCAGCTTGTAATAAATATAACTACTATCTATTGTGCCATTTTATGCTAGAATACTGATCCTGTCTGGTTGTCAGAGATAAGACAATGGGAAATTGTCTGTAGGTAAGATGACTGAGTACAATGGCACTCTATCTGTTGTGATTATCTAATTCTTTCCATGCTCTTTAGAAAAGCACTCAAGATAAGATAAGTGCTCTGATAAGATAAGAAGAAAAAGAATAAAATATGGAGAAAATCATAATATCACCTCTCTTAAGATCATCATCCTGATGGATCAGTTGATGGAAGTTTTATAGTCACATATAGCATTATTCATGATCATGTTACATTCATGGATCTATTGATTGGATTCTGGTCTGTATCCTTTTCACTTAACTAAATAATAAATTCTCATAGGTCTGCTTTTTTAGGCAGTCTCACAATATGTGCCTCTTCTGT